CCAAAAGAAGCTAATCCCATTGCCTCAAATCATGAGAGTCAGAGCTGGTAAAATAAATATGCTACTCCTGTATTTTGAATCTCTTTCAGATGCACTTGGTGATTATTCTGAAAATAGCCCTCAAACATTCGATTTCATGGCCTATTTGGAATGATAATGTCTGCTTAGTCATTTGAGATACAATCAATGCCTTCTTTGTGCAATGAAATTTCAGTCATTCATTGCTACTTTACTGTTGTCTCACTCAAATGTCAAAATTACTGTAAATGGAGTATTTTCTCAATGTACGGGGATAGGGGGGGAATATTGTGAAATATTTCATTTACTTCTCGGGGAACAAAACTGTAAATTTATTCCCCTTATCACAGGCTGCAGGAAACAGGGAGAACCTTTTATTGTCGAGACATGAAGTGATAATCTCTTTCAGCCTTTAAAAGCACTCTTCAGATCATCTTAATCATCTTGAGAATTTAGTACCATCCAAATACACAACAGTACCTGTGTGTTGTGATATGCTGTGTCTCCAATCGATTCCAGAAAAATTCTCCAAACAAATGGGATTAAAACAAATTATGAAGAATTAAATTTATACACGTTTCACATTAAATTTATTTCTTTGCTGATCAATAACAACAACAAAATTACATTTGTATAGTGTCTTTCACGTCAGGAGGATATTCCAAGGTGCTGGACAGTCAAGAGTTTCGGACCTGAGCTGGGGGTTGGGATTGGGGAGGTTGGAGGGCATGGGGGGAAGCAGGGTGATCGAAAGCATGGTCGAAGAGGAGGATTTTGAGATGGGTCTTGAAGGAGGCAAGCGAGGGGGCGAGGCTGAGGGACTGTGGGATGGAGTTCCAGAGGGTGGAGGCAGAGTGGCAAACGGCCCATCTGCCAATAGTGGGGTGAGTGAGGCGGGGGAATGTGAAGCAGGCCGGAGCCCGCTGAATGGAGGGAGCGAGCAGAATGGTAGGAGATTAGGAGGTTACAGAGGTAGGGGGGAGCAAGACCACGGAGGGCTTTGAAGGTGAGAACCAGGATCTTGTACTGTATCCTCTGTGTGATGGGAAGCCAGTGGAGTCGGGCAAGGATGAGGGTGATAGGGTCGTGGAGCCTATTGTGGGAGAGGACACGGGCTGCAGAGATCTGGATGATCTGCAGCTATAGAGGGAGGAGTTGGGGAGGTTGACAAGCAGCGAGTTTGCATAGTCAAGCCTCATTGTAATAAAAGCATATATGAAGTTTCGGCGGCCTGTGGTGTGAGATAATAGTAGAGCCAGGTGATGTTGTGGAGGTGGGGGAAGGCAGAGCGGTTCATGGCACGAATGTGGGGTAGAAAGGATGGTTGAGGGTCAAACAAGAGGAGGGTTTTGAGACGTGCCTTGAAGGAGGCAAAGGAGGGAGCAAGGCAAAGGGAATGTGGGATGGAGTTCCATAGGCAGGGGGCAGAATGGTTGAAGATGGAGTGGGCCGGGCGGGGGACATGAAGCAGGCCAGAGGGTGCTGATTGGAGGGAAAGGACAGATTGATATGGAGTCAGCAGGTCACAAAGGTAAGGAGGGGCAAGGCCGTGGAGGGCCTTGAAGTCGAGGACGAGGATTTTGAACTCTATCCTCTGGGGGATGGGGAGCCAGTGGAGCTGGGTGGGGGTGATGGGTTCACGGAGCCTGGTGCAGGAGAGGACATGAGCGCCAGAGTTGGGAAGGCCGACAAGCAGGGAGTTGGTGTGGTCGACCCTAGATGTGATGAATGTGTGGATAAAGGTTTCGGCGGCCTTTGAGGTAGTGGCAGAGCCGGGCAATATTGCGGAAGTGGGAAAGGCAGAGCGGGTCATGGCACAGATGTGGGGTAGAAGGGCAGTTGAGGGTCAAGCAAGATGACAAGGTTCCAGACTGGCTTAGCAAGGTGGAGTGTGCATCCAAGGAATGGTGGTGCTGTCAGCGCCTGAGATATGGAGGCGCTGACGTGAGCCAATCAGGAGAGTCTCGGTCTTGTTGACATCCAACTGAAGAAAATGAGCTCTCATCCAAGACTTGATGTCCGACAGAGCTCATTTTCTTCAGTGGTCCTGGAGTCAAGGTGGAGGCAGAGAGGTAGAGTTGGGCATCATCCACATACATGTGGAAGTTGACCCCATATCTACGGATGATGTCACCAAGAGGGAGCATATAGATGTTGAAAAGGAGGAGACCAAGGACAGAGCCCTGAGGAACGCCGCACGAGACGGTGCGGGGGCTAGAGGAGAAACTGTTTGTGGAGATGAAGTGGAGGCGGTGTGAGAGGTACGATCTGAACCAGAGTTTTGAAGGTTGAGGTGAGAGGAGAGGTGGTGAATGAGCATAAAGTGGTTGACGGTGTCAAAGGCAGCAGAGAGGTCAAGAAGGACGAGGAGGCAGATGGAGCCCTGGTCACAGATGGACAGAATGTCTTTGGCCCTTTGACCAAGGCTGTTTCTGTGCTGTAGGCGACACGGAAACCCGATTGGAAGGGTTTGTGAAGGGAGTAGTGGGAGAGGAAGGAGCGAAGCTGGGAAGCAACAACAACAACATTTGGATTTAAATAGCGCCCTCCACGCCGGACGGTGTCTCAGAGCTCTTTACAGTAACGGATCCCGGGGCCGAGCCAGGGGGAGGGGGAGAAAGGTGACCAAAGACGCGGTCGAAAAGAAAGGTCTTCAGCAGAAACCTGAAAATGGGAAGGGAGGGAGCGAGGCGAAGGGAGTGAGGAAGGGAGTTCCAGAGCCTCGGGGCATAATGGCTGAAGGCACAGCCACCGAGGGTGGAGTGGAGGACTCGGGGGACGAGGAGGAGGCCAGACCCGGAGGAACGAAGGCAACGGGTACTGTTTTGAGCAACAACTCGTTCCAGGACCTTGGAGAGAAAAGGGAGGTTGGAGAAGGGGTGGTAGTTTGAGAGTAGAGATGAGTCCAGGGAGTTTTTTTTAAGGACAGAAGTGATGACAGTAGTTTTTAATGGGGTGCAAACAGTACCAGTGGACAGGGAGAGGTTTATGATGTCTGTGAGTAGAGGGTCAAGGAGGTGGAGCTGGGAGGTAAGGAGAGGGGTAGGGATGGAGCCAAGGGAGCAGGTGGTCGGTTTCATGCAGGTGATAGTGGTGGTGAGAGAGGAGGGGGAGACAGGTACGAAGGTGTGGAGGGAGAGATGGTTAGGGGCCGGGGGGGAGGGTGAGGTGAGCGGAGTGTAGCAGACAGAAGGGCAGAAGCAGCTGAGCAGATCAACTTTGGATTCAAGGAGGTCCAGCAATGACTCGCAGTTGGTATTAGAGTTGAGGATGGACGAGGGGTGAGAGGGTGGGTGGAAGAGCAGGTTGGTGATGGAGAAGAGGAACCTGGGGTTGAGGCTATTTACTATTTCAATTAGTAAATAGAAAATTGATACAAATGACAGTAAACATTTTCTTGAAGCACATTTTGTGTCAGATCAGTTTTCATCATAGATACCTTTCAGAGTCCTTGCTTGGGGTTATTCACATCTTATCCTTGCATTACATTGATGAATTCCTTAGACGATACAGCCAAAGCCGCTGAAGACGGACACAGGTTAACCTAGGAGCCTGGGTAAATCGGACAAAATGCTCGGGCCCCAATTCATTTGAATTCCTGCTTGTTTAAAATATGACGGTTAATTCGGACAAAAAAAACACATCATCCAGACAAACTGCTGCGCTGGTCACCACTGAGATGGGAGGGCTCAAATTGTGATTGATTAACAAGTTTGGAACTGCTTGTGAATGGATGGAGTACCTCAGAGCCGCCACTAGTTAGTCCCCCTGAAATGAGACATTAAACCAAGGTCTTGTCTACCTATTCAGATGGATATTAAAGATCTCATGATGCTGTTTGAAAAGAGAAGGATGTTTCTCCTCTTGTCCTGGCTAATAATCCCTCAAATGAAATTCTTATTCACTTTATGGCTGTTTGTGGGACATTGCTGTGTGCAAATTGACTGTCACTACACTTTATAGTAGATCATGTGAAGTGCTTTGAGACATCCTCCTGATGTGAAAATCGCTATATCAAATGCAAGGATTTTTTTAAATTTATGCTTCTGGTGCTGACCTGCCCCTGTAGCTTTTAATATTATTGTAACTTTCCCCACCCCCTTTACTGGCCTAATGGTCAAATTCTAAATCCCTAATTGTTTAAGAATTAGAATTAAAATAATGTTTAATGTTAAAGTTTGGCCCGCTTCAGTCACCAGAACTCGATCTGTTTTCCATGTCTGAATTCTGCCCACTCATCCTTTGAAACCCTGCTGTTTTATGTTTTCCCCACCCCACTTTCCTCCCTAATTGTGTTTGAAATAGCATCAATTGAGTTAATGAAAGACATTGACCTCATCAACTGGGCTTTTGCCATTTAGTTTTGTGATTTAGTGAGTGCTGTCTGGGTGTTGAGATATAGTTATCACTGAGAGAAAAATGGGTTCTGTTCGTACTTGGCAGATCCAGCACAATCTGTGCAGATCACAATAAAGTAGGTCGAAATAAGGAGCACATTTTTAATGAGTGTCAATCGGTTGCTGGAAAGCTACTGGTTAGTTTGAAATTGATAATTAGGATCTCTAAAGTACTTGGCTGGTGCTAACCTTAAGCGGCTGGAAAAAAGGTTGCAATTAAGAAATGGTAAGCATTGTATTTCAGTATTGCTTACTCTTGAAGTGCACAGGCAGGCTGGAGGGAATTCTCTGACTTTGCTGGTATATATTGAGTTCAGCAATTTTATTCATGAGCTTGCAGTTGGGGGCCTGGAACAGTCCCAGAACTTTGTTGCTGTGCAGAATGGATGAATGTTAATGGAACAGAGCCTTGACATTTTGATGCGTCCTTATGCAACACCCACACTGGAACAGCCGTTGCAACACTGGATGCTTTGCTTCTAACTGTGCGGATGAAATTCACTGAATTGTCAACATTGACTTTTTTTAAAAAAAATCTGAAGAAAGTGAAATGGCTTAAAAAAAACTGTATTTCTGCCTTTTCAGGTGCCTGCAAAACTACATTCCTGCCCACAGCTTGACTCTTTCTTGCCCAGTGTGTCGTCAGACTTCCATTCTGCCTGAAAAGGGAGTTTCTGCACTACAGAATAACTTTTTCATCACAAACCTGATGGATGTTCTTCAGCGAACTCCTGAGAGCAACAGTGAGGACTCCTCCATTCTGGAGACAGTCACAGCGGTAGCGGCAGGAAAACCCCTTTCCTGCCCAAATCATGATGGAAATGTAAGTTGTGCTCTCTGTTAATTCTCTTTATATTCGGGTTCAGCATTAGTTGAATACAGAGCTTTCTTTCTTTGTTGCTCTGGATTCTAAGATTGCTTATTGGCGACTGTCCTGCTTTGAGGATAGTTTAAATGCTAAAGTTTTAAAATGTATTTATTTGTTTGACTTTGTTTCGCCGTTTGCTTTTGGATTGAATTTTAAGTAGCAGTGATTGTTCTAATCCTTGAAAAATGATTAATTCAAGTTAAAGTAAGCTATAATAATCGGATTGGCACCAGTTACCTCTCACTAATCTGTACTGTGGATTACATCCTATATCCTCAGGAGGGGGTGGGAGGTGCAGCATTTCTTTGGAGCTGAGCTGGCTCTGAGATGATATATCCCAACACACACTCTGGGGTCCCCAAATCTTAGCTCTTGCCAACCTGCGCTAATACTCTCCGGAATTAGGTAAGCAGGCTGTGTCCCTCCAGGGAGTCCACATCCCATTCCAATGAATATCTCTGGAATTTTCCTGCGTAGGTGAGATAAAGATGTTCGGTTTGGATAATACTCTTAAGCATAGTTATAGGTTTCTGCATGTGCCAGGCACCCGGCTGACCCAAATAAATCTTCCTGACTCCCTCTTTCCTTCTCTTACCCCACTCCCATCTTCCCTTTCTCCAATTCAGAAAGTGTTAGTACAAAAAAGGGCTTGAGGCAGTACTGGAGATGATGCTTTCTACAGTGTAGAAACCGAATTGCATTAACTTGTCAAAACCTGGCAGTACACTGTCCCTTCGGTGGTCTGAATACATGCAGAGTGATGGTGAGCACTCTTTGTTATCAAGGTTTTGTAATTTCAAGGCAAATCTGTGGTAGGTAGTGGATGTGTGTACTACTTCTCTGGTTGGGATCCAGGTATCCCAATGGTAGCTGCTGTCATCCCTTTCTTTTGATATACTCGCTGAATTAGTAGCTAGTCAGCATGAGTATTTCCTTAGGGCAAAATGATTTCGGTTAAAATCCTGTTCTTGCCCTTTGCCCCTTCCTGCCTTCCAATGTAACTCCTCTGTCACTGCCTTCTCCCAGGTGATGGACTTTTACTGCCAGTCCTGCGAGACTGCAATGTGTCATGAATGCACCGAGGGTGAACATGCTGAGCATCCAACTGTTCCCCTTAAAGATGTAGTGGAGCAGCACAAAGCGTCCCTGCAGACTCAACTGGAATCCGTCAAACAGAGGTAAGTGTGGTGCGTGGACCGCTTAGCTGTTGATTGCACCATGGTTTGCTAGAGATTTGCAGTGTTTTGTAATAACCCTTGACTGACCACCTTCTTTATCTGGGCACCTTGTGTTTTCAAGGTTAGAAATAAATTCACTTCTCTATCTATAGCATCTTGCAAAAGTGTAAATTGGGATATGTAGTTTAATTTAGTCATAGAATGCCATACACCTAACACAGAAGGAATTCATTCTGACCCCCATATAAGAAGTGGTGCTGAAAGGCAGGAGTTTTTTCTTCTGCATATTCTCACACTTACATTTAAGGCACTGCAATAACTGAGGCCAGCTCCTGTTTTTTTTCTTTGCAAAATTAGTGGCATGGATTGCACTTCAAAATAACTCCTCTCTCTTTACCAATGAGGCAAAAGAGTGTTGCAATACATCAACAACAACAACTTGCACTTAAATAGCACCCTCCACGTAGGGTAGTGTCTCAGAGCGCTTAAAAGTGGCGGAGCCTGACTCTGAGCTGGGGGGAGTGGGGAGGTGGCCATAAGCACAGTCGAGTAGGAAAGTCTTCAGGTGAGACTTAAAAAGAGGGGAGAGAGGGGGCAAGGTGGAGGGATTGAGGGAGAGTGTTCCAAAGTTTTGGGGCATAGTGGCTGAAAGCACGACCTCTGATGGTGGGACGGAGGGTGCGCGGGACGAGTAGGAGGCCCACTCCTCATTAATTGGTAAAGATGTTGGTTAGACACTTACTTGGAGAGGACAAGTTTGCAGGGCTATGGGGAGAATGCGGGGGAGTGGGATTGATTTGGATAGCTCTTTTCAAAGAGCCGGCATAGACACGATGGTCCGAAAGGCCTCTTTCTGTGCTGTATGATTCTATGCACATCCTACCTTATCTATGAAACCATCTTGCCTTGAGCAGGACTGTCAATTTAGATTCCGTTTTTAAATTTCTGTACCCACAGTCATTTTGATGCTTTCACTTTTGGTGCGAATACAAAATAACCGTGGCTTTTAGATGAATGCAAATTTCATGGGTTGAAACTGCTACGTCCTTCGCTCATTCAGCAGTCGCTGGGTTCTTTCTGTGCTTGTCCCAGCTGTACCTTTTCAAAAGAAGTGAAAGGATGATCAAGTGATGTGAACTGTTTTGTCCAGTAAATGACCTTTGTTAGTTCACACTCCACTCATTCTGATGTAATGGGAGCAGGCAGAACGGTAAGAACAAGGAGGTGCAAGGGTATTCTTTTCTACACTGATTTTAAAAAAAAAAGCCGTCATTGTCTTGTTAAAAAAGAATTGTCTCAGCATTATAGCCACAACCTACCATCTGCTCATTACCAGGAGCTATCGGGGTATTCCATCAATTCTACTGCAACTGAGAATAACGGGATGTTCAAAATGAAGCTTGTATTACTTGAAATTTTTTGCAAGGATCTTAAAATTCAGCAACACAAATCGTTGCAAATGGATGATGCACTGCAACCTATTGCCGATCATCTTGCGAACGCTGCCGCTATTTAATTAGCACACTGCGAATCTGCCATTATTGGAGAGTGAAATGTCTATCCAAGTCACAAGGAGCTGCAAAGATACAATCCAGTAATTAGCAACCTGCTGCTTTAAATCCCCTTTTTGGCCCTTGAAGTTTCAGGGATTGTATCTTCTCACATTTTGCATTCCATGCAGTTTTGCATTAAGGGCTGATATATTATGCACAGGACAATTAGAATATTGCCTACTTCTACTTTTTGCTGCTGTTTTGCCCTTCAAGGTGAGAAATTTAGAGACGTCTGTGTGGTGTAAAATGCACTCAAATAAACGTTTCTTAGTCAACAATATTTCCCACTGCACTAAAATAAAAGTTCCCTTTTCCAACAATGACCACTGTTCACAGTATCTCAACGGCTCGCCCAGCTTACCAATAGACAATACCAACTCTCACAAGTCTACTTTGAAGTCTCCACATGACTAATTACGATAGAGACCAAGATGTGCTTTGTGCTGTGGATGTATCTGTTTGTAAATGGGTGTCCCACAGTGGAGTTTTTCATCTTGCATTGGATTTTAGGTGAAAGGATTATATTCTAACTAAATGTACCATGAATGAAATGTTTCTTATTTAGTGATTGTGTTGGGATTGCTGAAATCAATTTAAAAACTGCCTTGATAGCAATGCATTGCTTTGTTCTTTTTGGTTTACTGTTAACCCCAAGATGCATCTTATAAAGATTTAAGTAGAGATGTATTTAATGCAAATTGATTTGTGTTGTTAATAATCCTGTCAATTTGATAGATCGTGTCAGCTGGCATCAATGCAATGTATTAATAATTTGATTGAGGATTTATTGATTTTTTTTTGCTTTGAGTGGATTTAGAAGAATTGATCTTTTACAAGGTGCACATCATTCCGTCATGGTTACTTTATACCTCAGTATTATTGAAGACCCAGAAATAAACTGTACTCAAATATCACTGGTTGTAGAGCTATCTTTGTGTTTCTGTCTATAAATGATACTGATAATGCTCTCTGATTGCAAGTTGTTTTAAACTTGAGGTTGGATTTGTTCTGACTTCAGGAGCAATCTCAAGTAAAATACAAGATTGTAACTACTGTAATCAATCCTGACCCTATATAATGCCACAGAGGCAACAAACAAAGGAAATTACGTAAGAATATATGACCTATTTCAATCACTTCACTTTGACAGACATTTGCTCTTGAACTCAACCCCTACTATATGTGCTATTTATTTCTAGAAACCTGGTTAGTGTTGCATTCTAATCTGTTTTCCCCCAAAATACCACCATGCATTTGCTTGTTTCTGCTCATAGATCAAACCACTCATCCGTGGTACCGTTCTAGTAAATTGCCTCTTTACCCTGATATTTTTTCTAATCTGGGGACCTAATCTGGAACTCCCTGCTTCAAATCCCTCGTTCCCTCTTTAATCTTTGAATCCCACCTGAACACCTACCCTTTTGACTTGGCCTATGGCCATCTTCCCCCTTTTCCCTCACTCAGCATCCAATCCTGCCACTATGCAACACTAAAGAAGATATCCTCTGTGAAAGGTGCTACACAAATTGTTGGCGGTTTGTTAATGTTGAGCAGGATTGAGGCGCATCAGTCCCACATTTTCTGCTCCCTTCACTTATTACTGTCCAACGCCCCTTTGCACTTGCTGAGGCTCTCTTCTCTTTGCTGATTTCAGACATTTTCACCCTGAACACACACCCTGAACTTTCTTTGTCAGTTTTTGTCTCTTCACTCTCGTGTCCATCTTCTTTATGCCCGCTCTGTCCTATCCCAAAATACTCCAGCCTATTGCTGGTCCCAGTCACTGTTCCTCTATCCCCAGCTGGCTGTCATAGATCTCCATCCATTTTACCTTTTTGTAAAATTTATATTTTTTTATTGCATCTTCCTCTTCCACAGATTGAAACCTATCCCAGCTATAATAGGAGAGAAATTCCTCCTGCTGCTCCGTGTAGCATGATATATTGTTCTCATGGGAAGTTTTGCATTCAAATGTACAATGTAATCTCTATTTAGTGGGAGTAATTTCAACTGAGGTGTTACAGGCATCTTGCCCCTGTATTCAAAGCTAGTTGAGTTTTACTCTGCATTGGGAATTAATCGCAATGGGCTCAATCCTACACTGATTACTAAAAATAGTGACCTTTTCACTCTTATTTTTACATTATGGCATTTCTCATTAAGAAGCCGTTAAAAAGACTAGATTTCAGTATTTTGCATGTGCTAGATAGAACCTAGCAATCATTACTGAAAAACAATTTCAAGGTTTGGACCGCACACATCATCGGAGGCTACTTGTCTTGAATGTCTATTTCAGTGCGGTGTATGTACTCTTTTTTAAATTTAGGCGGGGGGGTGATTTTTTTAGCTAGGTGATGGGAGGGTGGGGAGAAGAAGAGAAATGAGCAGAAATATACAATCAACTCACCTTACAGTCTTGATGATGTGGTAAGGAACTATAGCAAATGCAACCATTATTATTATTAACTAACCTTGTTTGGCAATCCATTCCCAGGCTGCCTGAATTAGACTCTGCTCTGAGTTTCCTCTCAGAAATCTTGCAAGATCTGACCAACGAGAAAGTAAGCATCGAAGAAGAAATCCATGCCACATTTGATGAGCTCCAAAAGACACTGAATGTACGAAAGAGTGTTCTTCTTATGGAACTGGAGGTCACCTATGGTGTTAAACAGAAAGTAAGGAAACATATTTATTTATTAGCGCATTGATGGTCAGTGAAGAAAAGTATAATTGGTTATGTAGGCTCTTGCTTTCATAAGCTGTATTTCTTCCATCACTGCTGATTTAGATAAAAATGAAGTAGCCTAAGTACAATTATTAACATTCTAACTTTCACTGGAATGAAGAATTAGCACAATCCTAGTTGCTTCAAGCTAAGCTGTTATCCCACGTTAAAGTAGATTGAATTTTTCAAAGGCAGCAAGATGTTTATGAGAGAACCTAGAAAGCTCTCTCAGCAGATCAACTGCATAAGGGACCCATCACATAACAATAATATAATAATAATCCTTGCATTTGATATAGCGCTTTTCATGTCTTCTAGACGTCCCAAAGCGCCTCACAGAATATACTGTAAAGTGAATTGACTGTATATTTGTGGGCGAACGCGGCAGCCAATTGTGCACAGCAGTGTCCCACAAACAGTCGTGGATTGAAGTGACAAATTTATTATTGTTTTTTTTGGAGGGACTATTATTAGTTGTGTGGAGTAAGGAAACTTGCCCAAGGTTTCGCCCTGCCTGGAATTGAACTCCGGTCTCTCGCTTACAAAGCGAGTGCTCTAACCACTGAGCGACAGGACTCCACTCTCTCCACATGCAAATCACACACTCTTAACAACATTTCATTTGGAAATTCGTGCATCCACTTTCAGCAGGATTTAACTATTTTAAGTGGGAATCAGCTAATGACCTGATTGGATCTCTGTGGTATGGTTTAAGATGAATCTCATTTGCTACTTTCTCATTCTGGATATTCATTTCTTCTAAAACTCGGAAAGCATAAGTTTCTTGTTAGTACGTTAGAGCAATTCCTAAGATTACAAGTGAGATTTGACTTTCTGGGACTTCTATTATATGAGTAAACTTGCTTGAATTAAATAAAATGACTAAACAGAGAAGTTGTCATGTTTTGCTGTGTCCACAATCTGTCATAAATATTTCTTTATCAATGATTTATGGTGCCAGAAGACAAAGAATTAACAAATAATTAAAATGTGTCTGAAACCTTAAACAACATGTAGTAGGGTCAAATGTGAGCGAGGAGTTTAAACACATGCACTTATAGTGAGAGTGACTTGCCGCTTGGAATAAGCCAATTACAGCAGAAGGTATTCAAGGCATTAATACCCTAGTGAAGTATTTGAAAGCTACTTTTAAGTCCATTATCTCGGAAAATCTTATAAATAGCAAGTTCTCTCTCTCTCTGATTAATAAAAAGGGAGATTAGGTGATTTTCTGCCCCCCCCTCCCCCCCAGTCACTGGCAATATTGTGTCCTGCATATTTTTAAAAATACAAAAGATTGAATACAAATTTGTCAGAGTGAAATGCAAACATTTACTGTATCAAATAGTTGGAAGACAACTGGGTGAGGAATATTATATTTAGGTTAAAACAAATCATGAAAACTGCTGTTATTTATGCAGAACAAAGATTAGATTTGAACATTGCATTTTTGTCACTCTTTGCCAGGAGACAAACTGAACTTTGTAGATGAAAGAACCAAGAATTTATGATGCATATCCTTTCTTCTTTCCCACCCAATTATGCTTTCGAGAGACATATTGCATGTTATTTTGTGATAACTTGCCAGTATTACATTCACTATCCCCTTCCAGCAGGAAAACAATGCATTCTTCACCTGTAAGGCTAAACCCGACATAGCAATTGGCCATTTTTGTTATCCAGACAGTTTAGCCATAGTGAGAGGATTGTAGTCTGACTACACTGTGGTCTCAAATGCAGAATCCTTAAGGAATGCCATGAACAATTCTACACTTTAGATTCTGAGGCGTATAGTTGTGTAAAGTATGGTTGGATCTGCCCCCTCCCTTGCTCTGTCAAGTGTGACATCAGGCTGCAGCTCAGGCTCATCACAACTACAATATTACCATCTGAGAACCAGACATTCCTGAATAGATCTGAATGGTCCGTTTCCACCCGCACAACATTTGAGGGCGGGTGTCCTGACAGCGGGGCTCCTGGCGGTCACCATCTTCTGCCTCTCAGGGCCCGCCATCGCACACGGACACAGAGAGAGACACACACTCACAGACACATTGACGCGCACAGAGATACACTCACAGGGAGATATCAGTGTGAACTCTCACAGCCTGTGGGTATACCAAATACAAAGCACTCTTGGCACTTTGCTTTTTAGCTCTAATCTGTCTTGTAGCAGATGAATTTCGAGCAAACGCTGACTTTCCAAAGTACAATCTCAAATATGTGGTTTCTCTCTTTCTGCTGCAGGTTCTTCAAGCACAACTGGACGCATTATTGCAAGGCCAAGAAAGCATTCGGAGTAGCTGTAGCTTCACTGAACAAGCCCTAAATCACGGGACTGAAACCGAAGTTCTCTTAGTTAAGAAGCAAATGGGAGACCGTCTGAATGAACTCGCAGTCCAGGAGTTTCCTTTACAGCCACAAGAAAATGATCAACTGGAGTTTGTGGTGGAAACTGAAGGTCTTAAAAAATCCATTCACAATTTAGGTACCATAATAACGACAAATGCTGTAGCTTACGAGACTGTGGCCACAGGCGAGGGTCTGAGGCAGTGTGTGATTGGACAGCCTACATCTGTTACCATAACTACAAAGGATAAAGACGGGGAACTTGTGAAGACGGGAAATGCATGTCTAAGTGCTGAAATCTCATCTCCAGACGGCAGTGTGGTAGACGGAGAGATACTTGACAATAAGAACGGCACTTATGACTTTCTGTATACCATCCAGAAGGAGCAGAAAGAGGGTGACTTTACACTCGCTCTCAGACTTTATGATCAGCACATCAAAGGAAGTCCATTTAAATTAAAGGTGATCAAGCCCACTGACCTCTCTCCCACGTCTGATGGAGTCAAGCGCCGGGTGAAGTCCCCAGGCAGTGGGCATGTGAAGCAGAAGGCAGTAAAACGCCCAGCCAGCATGTATAGTACTGGGAAAAGAAAAGAGAATCCAATTGAAGATGATTTGATCTTCAGAGTTGGTAAATCGACTTTCTTCTTCTCCAAGGCTGTCTACTTAACTGCTTAATGAATTTCTCATTGAAAAACCATTAGCTAATTACTCCTAGAAGTGTAGCTGAAGTGCATAAAATATTGCAATACTTCACTATGTTGTTTTCTCACTTGATCTAAATCCTCAAAATCTTTCATTACATTTAATAGTATTTAATATAGCAATAGGTTCTCTGCAATCCCCAAAAACAAGAAATTAAGGATCTATGAGGAGATCAATAGATTTTTAAAAACTAAAGGGATTAAGGGATATGGGGATAGGGCGGGTAAATAGAATTAGGTTAGAAGATCAGCCATAATCTTATTAATTGGCTCGAGGGGCCGAATGGCCTACTCCTGCTCCTATTTCATATGTTCTTATAATCCAAAACAGTACATTTGCAATGAGAGAGGAACTCGACTAGTAATGTAGATTTGATTTATAAATCGATGGTCAGAAATATTAGCACCAGCACAACAACAAATTGCATTTATACAGTGACTTTCACATCGGGAAGACATCCCAAGGAGCTGGACAGTGGAGGGTTTGCACCCGAACCAGGGATTTGATCGGGGAGGGGGATGGGGGAGATGACCAAAGGCGTGGTCAAAGAGGAAGATCTGGGAAGAGGCAAGGCATAAGGATTCTGGAATGGAGTTTTCCAGAGAATGGAGCAGATAGGCTGAAAGCCCAACCACTGATGTTAGAGCAGGCAGGCTGGTTGGGGGGTGTGAAGCAGGCCAGTGCCTGCCGAGTGGAGTGAGAGGTGGGTTGGTAGGGTTTAAGAAGGTCACTGAGATACGGTGTGAGGCAAGGCATGGAGAGGTTTAAAATTGAGGGGATTATAGGCTTGTGCTGGAGAGGATATGAGCTGCAGAATTCTGTCGGGTCTGAAGCTTGTAAGGGGAAGAGTTGGGAACTCTGGTGAGCAGGGAGTTGGCGTAGTCTAGCTGAAACGTGATGAATGCATGGATAAGGATTTCAGCAGCCTGAGAGGAGAGTTGGTGGCGGAAGCAGCCAATGTTGTGGAGATAGAGCAAAGCTGAACAGATCGGAGCATGGATGTGGGTTTAAAGGATAGTTGAGAGTTGAACTAGACGCTGAGGTTAAACCAGGATTAATGACTATATTTTCCAAGATGAGAACATTGATACAGAAAAAGTTGAGAACATATGTATCTTTAATCATCAAACATGAAAGTCTTAACCACATTCCAGATAAGTCAAACAAATATGTTCCAACTAAATAACCACAAACTTGTAAAGTACTGTAGTTTAAACACCTAAATTTTATTTATTATATTGTGACTTAGCCTGTTAGATTAAAATAAACTTCAGGCTTGAAAATATCAGTGGTTAAGCATAAGCATATACAAGTAATTTAAAGGAATATATAAGGATAAGATCCTATAGTGGAGAATTCCTTTAAAAGTAATCAGCATCCACATAACTGATATTGCGTGGCTTCTTCCCACACCTCCTTTCTTGCTCTGAGCTACAATCACTTGTGGGATCAATAAATTCTGCATTACTACTGCTAATATTGGTTCAATTGTTCTGTTAATGGGGAGCTGTTTGCAATTTGGCAGTTTGATAGTTTAATTCTTATCTTAGTTTAAATTCTGATTTGATTTTGAAATGCTTTATCCCACTACGTGCTTAAGAAATGCTCCTGCATTCACGCAAAAGCTACTTAGTTCAAGTCCACAAGTTGAATAGCTTTATCTTGCTAATATTCAATGGACTATTCTACTTATAATGAAAGTGGTGTGAAATGTTAGCTCCAAGACTGGGTAAAAGTGGATTTTATGTCAATACTGCTTAGATTCTTTTTTTAGTTAAGACATTTGCTTTTATGGTGGTGAAGTAAGTACAGCTGTCTGATTCATGCTGTTCTGTGGTGTATTGCTAAGATTCTTTGCGAATTTGCAGGAGGGGCCACTCTCAACCTATAAACTTTCCCTTGTCAGCAGCTGCACATTTCCATTAACATTTCTGAATGAAATGCAAACTCTGTTTACTTCATAATTTGTGTTACAGGTAATAAAGGAAGAAACAAAGGGGAATTCACTAATCTGCAAGGAGTGGCAACATCCTCCAGTGGAAAAGTCATGATAGCAGACAGTAACAATCAATGTGTGCAGGTAAGGACACTGTCAGGGTTTTGGAAAGGCTTCTTCCCACACCACCAACTAATCTCGGAGCTATAGTCACATTTGAAACTGTTATCCAATCAGTACAATCTGTTACTACTATATTTTCTGTTAATGAGAAAGTGTCTGTTTGCAATGAGATTCATTAGTACTCAGTTAGAGCTGTTGATAGGTAAATAGATATATCACAGCCAACTCGCAGTATGCCAGTTTCCGAGAGCCAGAAGTGGATTGCGAATTGACTTTGCATGCTGTAAGGTTATCAGTTGGATTGGCTGTCGCTGGCTGATGGAATTGTGGAATAGACTTGCAAACCCTGATATAAGACTGGGTATTTTGGAAGGATGAAATCAAATGGACCAAACCTCTTGGTGTGCCTTCCTATTATGTTTGGGTGAATGCATGGATTTTATTCTGAGTCCTTTGTAAAGATTGGTTAGTGAACATTATGTAGTATTAGTTGGGGCTTGAACGATGATAATTTTAAATGATGCTCCAATGTATATATTGGTTAATATGTAACTGTGGCATTGTACAAGTCATAATAAATGTCTTCTAGATTTTCTCAAACGATGGACAGTTCAAGAACCGTTTTGGGGTCCGTGGCCGGTCTCCTGGGCAACTGCAGCGTCCAACAGGGGTGGCTGTGCACCCAAGTGGTGACATCATCATAGCAGATTACGATAACAAATGGGTGAGCATTTTCTCACCCGATGGGAAGTTCAAGGTGAGTACAGTTGCACATGGTCTTTAATGTAGTAGAATAAGCATGTCATTCATCTGAATAACACAATGGGCCAAATGGCTGCTGCCTATGCTGTAAATTTCTGTAATTCTACAAAACTCTGGGTTACACATTATAACTCAGCAAAAATAATGATTGACCTTCTGTTGCTCGAAAACACTGCTTCTACCTATTTAATCCAATTACTGTAAATTTGTATCTCAATTAATATGATTATGAATGGGAATGGTCTTTGAGGGAACCCATGGAGGCGTATAACAACTTTAAATGGGATTGAAAAACAGTAAACTCCGACCAATAATTTAGGATACATCCAGATGCTAGAACGAGAGGACCCAGGTTTAAAGTTATAAAGAGCAATTGCAGGACAGAGACCAGAACGATTCTCTTTTACTCAAAGGGTAATCAACAACTGGAACAGGTTGCCAGGAGACTGGACTTATTTAAAAGCAGCTTGACACTGTGATGTAGTACTGGTGGGAGGTAAGACGATAGGGTCAGTGTTCTGGAAGGATAAAATTAAGCTGAAGGGCCTTCTTCATGCAAACTGATCTTGTGGTGATAGCTCTGGACATCTCCCTACGTTCAGCGTTTTTCCCCATTGCTGGTTTTTCCTCTGATTCTAAGGTGGTATTTTATCCCTCCCTGGAGGAAACAATAGGATAACCTGAATGTAATTTATTGCTGTCTTGCATATGTCAGAATTTAGTTTAACATATTGTGTTCCCAGTTGAATTTTTAAATGTATTGCAGCGTAAACATACAAACTGACAAAGTAAAATCAACCAGAGCAAAACATGTTTTCTTATTCGTATCTCTAACACACAAATTATAAATGAAATAAATACAGGATGTGCCCCATTCTTTCACTCATTTGTGCTAACATAGTCGAGTGGCTTATCAAAAGCCAAGTGCTTTGCTACAAAAAACAAGGGAATTATAAGCCCTAGATCTTTGATCAGGCTCTCAAGTACTTTCCAAGGCAACTTAATAACAGAAAGGTGTTTGAACAAGCCTGGAGGCAGGTCTTTTGCCCATTTTCTTGCCTGAGGAAGATCCAGAGGAGAAGTCAGAATTGTAATAAAATGACTATAAGGTTGATCTCTCCTGACAGACCAAACTAGGTTCTGGAAAGCTGTTGGGACCCAAAGGCGTAGCAGTGGATCGGAATGGTCATATCATCGTGGTGGACAACAAGGCTTGCTGCGTGTTCATCTTCCAACCTAATGGGAAGCTGGTGACGAAGTTTGGTAATCGAGGAAACAGTGACAAGCAGTTTGCAGGTACACTTGATGGTAATACTTGAACCCCCTTTCTTGCCTCTTCTGCACACATTTGCATGAAGACTCAGCATGCTCAAAGGGTGTTGTATAAATTGCATGTGTGCTTGTCTTGTACAGTTGAGACACAAGATGCACGCTTCCTGCCAAATTCATTTCACCAGTAACCTCATCTGTGTAATGACTCATAAATCCAATAAATTCAAGAAATGATAGATGGTAACTTAGTGGTTACTTATAATGCCTTCTGGCAGAGGGAAATACTAAAAAAAAATTAAAAAACTTAAGAGGTCAACATATTTAGTTCAGTGTATCTTACAATACAGTTACAAATCCTGAACAATCCTGAAAAATAGACCCTAATAATAATAAATGCTTTTTTATAACACATAGTCTTAACACACTACGCTGTGCCTCTAATATGGAGTTTTGCTTTTGGGAAGGCACCAGTGCCTTCTATTGCTGTGACTAAATAATGCAAAAATATCTGGTAAGCATTGGTGCAAACTATGGCAATGCACTGTTATGGTAACATACTGATTCAATATATAATTGCTTTTTAAAGAGAATGAAAGTTCATTGTGGTAGAATGGGACACTATATTGATGATCTAACCTGCTACAATACATCGCAAAATGACCAAGATGGCAATCTGTTTTTGGAGGTTATTGATGATGATAATTATAATAATCCTTCCATTTGGTGTAGCAACTTTCACGTAGGGAGGATGTCTCAAAGCACTTCATAGGATTTTTTTGTGAAGCGCAATGACTAAATTTGTAGGAAATCCCAGCACATGGGAATATCGCACAAACAACAATGAAACAAATGATCAATTTAACTTGGAGGATTGTTGTCCAGAACACTGGGAAAAATTCCCTTCTCTTCTCGAGTTGTACCATGGGATCTTTAACATCCATCTGAACAGGCAGACAGAATCCCACTTTAACATTTCTTCTGATGGCCGGCACCTCCCAACAATGCAATATATCCCCAGCACTGCATTGGAGGGTCAGCTTAGACTATGTGAGCTTGAACCCACACCTTTTGATTCGGAGGCGAGAATGTTACCAACTGAGCCAGGCTGACACGTTACCATCTCGCGAAGAACCTTATCACCATTTTGGGATGTAATCTAGACAACTAAATTGTATTTTAGACTTTGTTTCCAAAATAAGTATGTCAACTGTTCACTTCATCCTTTTCAATGCCTTGCTCAACCCTTCTTTGTCTCTATCTCTTTTGTCCCCTCTTGTTTCAACCCTTTCCCTTGTGTTTTTCCAATATTGAGTTCCTGTGGTGTCTGGCTACCTGGTTATGATTACTGTCTGTGACTGGCCTGGTGTTTTTGAGTGCAGAATTACAATATCTATGCCTCAGTTTTGGGTGACTCTTCAAACCCTGATTACATATTTCTTCTGCCCTATCATCACCTTCTAACTGTATTAGGACTGCAACAATTTTGTAATGAAGGCTAAATGAAATAATTGAGCGTTCAAAGCAGCCTTTTTCCCCCTGAAAGAATGGATTATGGTAAAATTTAAATCCATTTCCTTCACTAGGTTTGTGCCTCAAGATTCTCACTTAGGGTAGGTGGAATGCAGTATTGCTAAACTGTCTTTAATAATGGATTTCAGGCTCTCCTCCCCCCACCCCCCACCCCCCCCCACACACACAGAGCTGGAAAATGATATTGCCCAACAAGCTCTACAGATTTAAGATATCAGGTGCCTTATTTTTAAATAAGTGAAGATCGTGGTCAAATTTTTTCTCGTGTGTAGTAACACAATTTCTACCATACTTCAAATCACACTGAGACCCGATTCTTGCCATCGTAAAAGCAAATGTATGCTTCCAGCATTGAATCTTCAGGGTCTGTGGTAAATCATTCTCCTGAAATGTGTTTGGTCCCAAATCTCTTGTTGAGGGCATGAATTAACCACATTTTATGTTCAGCTAATAAACTGTTCTTTAATTAAGGAACAGCAGACTCCTACCAGCAGTGGGAGGAAGATCCTGAAACGGAAAGAATATTTGCGATCAACTAAATTTTCAAATACCTTGCAGATATCATATCTACAGGCACAACATTATTTATACATATAATATATATACTTTATTTTTATATATACATACTTGCCTAGGGTCTTGTGTCCTGTTTTTATGCAGGACTTTCTTTTGCCTCTTCTTCTGTGTAAAATTTAGCCTCTCCTAGTTTAACATTTTATTTCATGAATCACTATCACAATTCAATCTAAATTCCCAGTAAAACATTGTAAAATGCATCTCTTAAAGTACTGTGCATGATTGAGTGTCCATCCCTCCCCCTGTCTAAATAAATGTGCGAATAAATTTACAATTTTTATTGTACAATGTTAGAAGTTGTTATCTCCCTGATGAATATATTCATGTGCAGAATAATTGTGACCCATTAGTTGAACAGAACTATAGTGGTTAAAAGTAGTCAAAATGATTGATTTTCAATGGGTGAGATCTGTTGTTGTAATATGACTTTTTAAATGGTTAATACTTATAGATTTCTTAGCCCACCACCTTCCGCAGTCTCATCCTGCTTAAAAAATTCAATTTAATGAATTGTCAGGTAATAGCGGATTGAGTCTTTCAATTATTTTGTCCACTGCACACTCGTCTCCTCTGTGAGATGCTGATAACAAATTAAGTTTAACTCCAGATTATTCTGTGACATGACCCAGTTTTAAATGTGTGCCTGCAGTTTGAATTCTTCAGATGCTTCATCATTTGCAGTTGCCATGTCGCTTGTTACAGACTACCTCGCTTCCACACAGCTGCTTGACGAGTGAGAAAGAAATGACGGGAAGGGAGGGAGAAACCACAAGGAAAGAACTGCAAACCTGATAGTCATCAAGAAATCTTAAATTAGAAATGCATTAATTGTTGAACATCACATAAGATATTACACGCTGTTCCTAATATCTAATGCCTGTACTTTCCTAACATTAATTAATGTAATGAGTCAAGATTACCGATTGGCTTTCTATTAAAAAATGTTTTAAGCTGGTTTTAAATTCAAATGTGAATGGAGCTGAATAAATGGACTTTAATTTCTTCATTAAGATTTTTATGTTGCGAAACAAATTGCAGTAAATCCCTGGCTTACTGGACTCTAGATATCTGGAATTCGTAGCTGACCGAAAGTGATTTGTTTTAGTTCCCTGGGCCTACGTGTCTGTAGATTCCCGCTGGCCCATTCTCATAGCTTGCACCCTCATCTCAAAGTGCCTCCTGGCCTTCGGTGACCAGGGGTTTTGACTTCAACTCAGTTTAAATCCCACAAACAGAAAATAGCTTATTCACTATCGTTTGCTCATGGGATTTAAACAGTTATGATGTACTGGAAAAAAATGATGCTGCTAAATGCCGATAACGCCATTGTAATTATACTTAGTCGGAAATTCTAGCTCACCGGACTGGATGTATCTTCCACCATTAGTCTGACGAGCTGGGGTTTGTGTATGAAGAAATGCTACACTTAATCACTAATTAAACTATCTTCGTCTGATTGTTATATATTTTTTTCTATCTACCAAAAGCATCATATACAATGTTATGGTGTTTGGTGTACATTTTGTGTTTTGAGTGAAATCATTGCTCAGTGTTTTATTTACTGTTGTACTTTACTAAATTACTAATTTTTTTCCATTTGCCTTTCAGGCCCGCACTTTGCAGCAGTCAACCATAATAATGAAATCATTGTTACTGACTTTCATAACCACTCTGTTAAGGTACAGCAAGCTTTATATGCCGGTGATCTGACAGACGTGTCTTGTAGGAGGACAGAGCAAATCCAAGCCAAATGCAGAATTGTAAACTTGCTCTTCCTCCATTTCATTGGCAAACTGAAGTATTTCATGAGGTAATGGGGATGAGAACCAAATGTGAAAAGAAAGCCAAAATGGATGGTTTTGGGATAAGCATGAACTTAGTGAAGTTATGATGGATGTTAATACTAGAGAGTGGGCAGTATTTTTATCACCTAGCCTCAGCATCAAGCTTACACCTAAATCATGTGTAGCAAGCCAAATGCAGTTCGCTTAGATCACCGTGTACTGCATTGAGAGAGAAATATGAAGTAGGAAGTCGAAGGCTGGAACCAAAATGGTGTCCTTTTGCTTATGTGTCCTGGATGTGTGTCTCATGCCTTCTCTGTGGCCTTTTTGATATTGCCAACCGTGTTAAATTATGAGGATGTTTGTGCTGGTCCCTACACTTACCTAAAATTTAAATTAAGACTCCCCTCTTTCCTCCCCCACTTCCATAAGTTTTCATGTGGAGCCCTTGTTAGGAGAGAGGAAACTTTAGTCATATGAGATATTCCTAGTAACTGACACGATTTGAACAAGACCTACTTTATTAGATGAGATTTTGTCATTTGAGATTGGGTTGCATTCTGAGAATCTCCCCATTATGAAGGGTGCTGTAAAATGCAAGTTGTTTAAAACAACCAACAACCAGATTTGTGGAAAGTTTCCATTCAGCCAAGTGTGTTTCTTAATAAGGGTATGTTCAATATGTCCCAGGGATGACTGCTAGTGTAAAATGCTTATTTTCTACAGTAAACATGCTGATTTCTGGTAATACAACAATTCTTACATTTGAAATAGTGCCTTTCACATTGGAGGACGTCCCAAAGTGTTTCACAGAATTTACTGTAAAAGGGAGTGACTGTGTACTTGTGTGAGCAAATGCAGCAGCTAATTGTGCGTAACACCAAGGTCGCACAAACACCATGAACTGTGTAACCAATTTTATTTGGGGGATTGTTGGCCAGGATACCGGGTCACCCACAAAATACACAGTCGTGCCTCTTTACAACATATCCTTTGAAGTGCTTTAAGATGTCACAATGACACAACATGCTGTATCAAATGCAATTATTATTATTTTAAAGGCCATAAAGATTTTTAAATTGGTTCTCATCTTGCATTGTCACATTGAAAGTCTTCCAACAAACTTTTAAACGAAGTGTGTGGTTTCTTGAAGAGTTTCTTAAACCTATCTTGAGATTAGTAGGTGGAACATGTATTTGTCTTTTTATATACACACAGGTGTTTAATGCTGATGGGGAGTTTGTGTTAAAATTTGGATCTAATGGAGAAGGAAACGGTCAATTTAATGCACCAACAGGAGTGGCTGTGGATTCTAATGGAAACATTATAGTTGCTGATTGGGGAAACAGTCGTATACAGGTAAAATAAATTAACTAGGTTTCAATAAAAATGTAACAATGTTTTACATCTCACTATTTCATCAAATCTGAAGTGCTTTGAGACATCCTCCTGATGCTATATAAATACAAATTGTATTGAAAAAGAGTAAGAGTTGCTTTCTGGATGATAATACATATATGGATTTATTGTCTGGGTTTCAAATTAGATTTTTTTTTAAATAGGTGTTTGATGGAAGTGGATCATTCCTCTCTTATATTAACACATCTGCTGATCCGCTCTATGGCCCGCAAGGCCTGGCACTGACTTCGGATGGCCACGTGGTGGTAGCTGACTCTGGAAATCATTGCTTTAAAGTCTATCGTTACCTGCAGTAATTCTTGTTGGAGCAATTCTTGTTGGGTGAACTGGATGAGTTCCTGCTTTAATTAACTGGTTCAGTTTCCATTTCAGGACAGAGTCACCTGCTTTTGTGACCCTTTCCTGACTTGGTTTTATTTAAGTGAACCGTGTACTGTATATGTATGAACAAATGCAGATTTGTACCTAAGGATTTCCTCTGTCCTTCACAATACTGTATGTTCCAGCTTCATGAGACTCTTTCAAGTGTTTTCATAAAATGACTAAATAAACTATTGTATCTGAACATGCAGATGTGGAGGATATAGTTAGCTGCTCATTCTTTAGAAGTAAAATATTCCAGCATATTAAATAGAATCTGCATCCCTCAGTGCCAAGAGCTCCATCTCATCAAACATCCTGATTATATATAGAATGTGTAAGTGAGTAAATGACATTAATTCAATTGAGTCCATGTTCAAAAGCAAATGGAGGTGCAGTTTTATTCGATGTAGATGTACTGATCACCTGAATAAATGACTGCAGTTACTCACTTACAACTGCTTTCACTCACTTACAATTATGTTTTATTTTTCACATTGTATAATCTCAAGATGGCTCTAACTATTAATTCCTAGTATTAGTACAGAAGATAAATGGGAAAGTCTGCAGTGATTGCGCTGTCAAACTAATTTTTTTACACTGGCAGTTGCCTCACAGTGGTGCTGACTATCCATTTTAACGATTTTGGCCAGTTGTGATGTACTAACTGCAAGTATAATATTGTTACTTGTTTCACATGAGGGTAAAATGGAAATATTTTGCAATTCTAAAGCAACATAAGAATTAGGAGCCTAGTATATTTGATGCTTCATGTATGTTTTTAGTTGCTTGATGTAATACAGTAGTGGCATTAAATATAGGTAATTGGTTGTTTTTTCTTAGGACACATTTTTAACCAAAGTCTATAATGCATGCCTTGTGCCACGCTTGTTAGCTGTGCAATGTCATTTTTGATGCAAGAGAAAAAAAAGTTGAAGGAAACTGATGAATCCTTGAAGGAAACTGAAGGTCCTCAAAACTATTTAATGTCCTAAACTAATTCAGGCAGGAGCATAATCTTGTTTTACAGAAGGATGCAAAATTAAGGGACACAAACCGCATCTTTACCACTAAACTGGATCCTGCCGGTATTTAAAATGCATTAACTTGATTACTTTGATTTGTTAGTTCTTCAGCAGTCTACTCAGGTACTTGGTTTGCATCTATTTATCAATTCCAATTTGTTCTAGGATTGCATAATTGGGAAATGTTCTCTAAATGTTGTGAAATGCACTATAAAAAGAACCAGAGCTAATTTACTTTTTAAAAATCTGTTTGACTGCTGTTTTAGAACTGTATTTAATTTGCTGCTGTGTGTAATTTTTTTCATTCTAGGGAGGGGTGGGGTAGGGGAGGGAGCAAGTAGGAGAAACTAGATTAAATATTCAAGTTTGTCAGTAAACAGTGTAGATTAGGAGTTCTTTATTTGAATTCAGTAAATAACTGATCTTTCCTGGAAAGGGAGAGGAATGAAGTCCCCACACTGGGCTGTAAATTTGAACTTTGTTATTTTGTCTGTAAAGAATGCTCAAAAAAGCTTATTTATATTTTATCACTAATGTATTAACAAATGCATGTGTTGCCAAACTTTGATGGGGAATTAAGTGCCCAGAGAATTTTGTTTGGGAGGATATATTCGAAACACTAAAGGAAAAAAAACCATGTCAGTGGCATTTTGGAAAAACTGAAGCTTGAATGTGTAATGTATAGATGTAACCCTTCTCTTGTTCCTTTTGTAACGCGTGAGTTGTGCTTGATGGTGAGGTTCAAACGATGAGAAAGTGATTATTTCCCAGTCTGGGTGGAGCTAGTGTTGTGTGCGACCAGCATGGCCTTAACATGTATACTCTTCTTCAATACTTCAGAAACTTAGTTTACCGCAAGAAGTTTGGGGAATCTGCATAGACTGTGCAACAAGACTGGAAGTCAGTTTATTAACTTCTCTTTTGAAAACGCCATGTTAACAAATGCTTATGCTAATGTTTAAGAGGGAAAGTTTATACATTATTTGAATGTTACAAACATTCCATCATTGTGATTTGTTTTGTGTACAGCACACGAGTAAATAAAATGTCATGCACTCCAAATAAAATTGTGTAGACTGGTTTTCTTTTACATTAATGCTATTAATGGATATAAAGTTGATTGAGACGTACAGTTAAAAGTTAGATATTACATTAAGATAAATGGAGAAAAGGAAGAAAAATGAAATTAAAGAGGCTCTGAAAACAAATTCTCCGTGGTGAAGAATGAACAGCAGCTTACTGTTCGACTCTCTCGAAATAAAGGCAAGAAACAGTGATTGACAGTTGCATTCAGGAAAATAGTCAGGAGTCATCAGGTCAAACGGATCTGTCAGCTTCCTAAGGGAAGCCCTCAGGACATTATTGCAGGCACACTATCTGTCATTCTTTAGACAAAAGAAAAACGGCAGAAACTGTCCATGCTGTGAGCTCCCGTCCACCAGCCGATACAAAGCTTTACTCACAACTGATAGAATTCACATTGTTTCAAATGAGAGAATGGTTCTTTAACAGGAGGATAAAGCTGAAATATTGTTCATTATACATAGGCCAAAGTTCAAAGAGTAATCTCAATGATTAGGGGCAAGGGAGCTGCAGGCAAACTCCATTAAAATTAACTTGTCACTTGGAACATTTTATTTTCCGTTATTGATCTGAACACAGGCAGGATTCCCCGAGCACAGTATGCTGAGTGCCTTTCATTGTTTGAAGATCGTCCTTCCTTTGTTTCAATTGGAAAATCTGCGTGGGTACAAAGTGGAGGATGGTTAGTTGTCTATCAAACTCCAAGTACTGCTATTTTGCCATTTTATGTGCAATTAGTGACACACAGAGTAGGGGGAAATCAAAGCAGCAATGTAGCCCAAACAGATGTTACGTCAAGCTTGGATGGTTGGTTGCTATTGTGTTTAATCGGGTGGAGGCAATGTTGGGATCTGAGTTGTGGAAGTCCAGTAGTTTTAAATTGAAGATTTATCCAACGTGTTTTGAAGCTTTCTCTTAGCTGAAAAGTCAGAGAAACAAACCAAGCATTCTGAAAGAAGACTAGACAATAAAATGTGATCCTGACTTTGTAAATTAGTTTGGATGCAAGATAATAATAATATAATAATCCTTGCATTTGATATAGCGCTTTTCACGTCGGGAGGACGTCCCAAAGCGCTTCACAGAACACACTAAAGTGAATTGACTGTATATTTGTGGGCGAACGCAGCAGCCAATTGCGCACAGCAATGTCCCACAAACAGTCTTGGATTGAAAATGATCAATTTATTATTGTTTTTGGTGTTTGGAGGGATTATTATTAGGCTCTGTGTGGAGTAAGGAAACTTGCCCAAGGTTTCGCCCTGTGCCTGGAATTGAACTCAGGTCTCTCACTTGCAAAGCGAGTGCTCTAACCACTGAGCTACAGGACTCCACTGCCCTTAGGGGATGGGTATGATGCCCTTAGGGGTAAACAGTCTGCCATAACAGTTGATTCACTAGCAGCTAAACAGACATTTGGCTCTACATAACAATAGAATAAAGCAGTAAAACAGTCTATTTCCTTTTCCAGCATCAGAGGATGGTCTGTATAATTCCTCACATGTGAGTTCTTAAGCTTGACTCCATTTTCAGGGGAAGATACCAATAGGTATCATTTTACCAGGTGAAAGCAATTTGTGCACAGCAATGCCCCACAAACAGCTATGAAGTGAATGACCAATTTTATTTGGTTTTTTTTTTTGGCAAGGACACTGGGGGAAACACCCCTTTTTGAATTGAGCCATGTGATCTTTAAGGTCCACCTGAACAGTCAGGCGGGACCTCAGTTAACAATTCATCCAAAGGATGGCAACTCCCAACTATGCAACACGCCCCAGCACTACATTGATGTGTCTGTCAGCTTAGACGAGGTGAGTTCAAGTCCTGACATAGAGTTTGAACCCACAACCTTCTGACCCAGAAATGAGAGTGCTACCACTGAGCCAGGCTGACATCAGGGAAGCAGAGGAGAAAAGAAGAGAAGCTTTGCAATCTATGCAGACTGGCACTAGTTTGAAGTGACACATTTTTTAAAACGTAACCTATTTTGAAAATAAATGAAACTCTTGATTTATTGCTAACAGCCCTGTCTACATCAAGCTTAGTGTGGTGCCTTCAAGTTCATTCAGACATGAATCCTAATGACTTCTGTTTTGTTTCTTTATGCCCCAGTGACTTTGGAGCCATGAATTTTCAATTCACGTTAATAATTTAACATTGAAGCAGACTGTGCAAATTGAAAAACTGGTTTCAGCAGTATTGTTGCAGGCTCCTGGTCGAACCTGTCAAAACTCACTAATTCAAAGTAAATAAAACGTGACCCACATTTGATACATCTTTACTGTAAAAAAACCTCAAAGATAGAGGTGCCAGCTTTTTTTTCAGTGCCCAGAATTTTCTAAAATGTAAACTGCTCCCAAATGACTGCTGATGAATTGATAATACACTGGGGCATAAATGATAGGAACAGTTGGTGGGGGGGTGGTGGTGTGGAACCTTTTCCAAACAGCAGGTGGTTAAAAGATGGAATACAGTGCCAAAAATCTCTACTGACCAACAAAAAAATATATATTTTTAAATCCTTACAAAAGTGGAGATGTACTTGAGGTCGCATGCGGTAGACAATTTGCACACAATCATCCCACAAACCATCATGCAATGGATCCGAGGATGGCACCTCCAACTAGGCAGCACTCCCCCAGCACCGCACTTGAGGTGGGTCTTTGTGAGCTCAGAAAACTGCCCGGCTTGATTCATAGGATGACCCATACATCTCTAATTTCTGGGGACAGTCCCCAGATGAGGTATTGTGTTCCCGGGGCCAAATTTGCCCCGTCTTGAGGTCAGCAACAAACTGAGCAAGAACAATAACATTCTTAAACCATCGGAGAAATACAGCTATTAACCCAACAAGCTTTTACGTCACTGCCAGCATCAGGAATTTGAAGAGTTCAATTTTTTTATATACAAAGTGTGCCCTGGATTTGGTTTACAAAATATATTCTGGGTATCAAGAGATATGGGGAAAAAGCAGGATATTGGAATTGGCAGGATTAGTTGAGGTACAGATCAGCCATAATCTAATTGAATGGTGGAACAGGCTCGAAGGGCTGAATGGAGATGGGGGTGTGCACACACCCCTCCCTACAACACACCCACATGCACCCTTCCCCACATACACTCACACCCTTCCCCACACACACATAACTCCACACTCACACACGCACACTCATACCCCTCCCCACATACACTCACACACACCCCTTGTCACATCACTCAGACACAAACCCCTCCCCACACACACACACACTCACAAACACCCCTCCCCACACACACACACTCACAAACTCCCCTCCCACATACACACTCAAAGCCCTCCCCACACATACACACCCCTCCCCACACACTCGCAGACACCCCTCCCCACACACTCATTCCCCCTCCTCACACACCCCTTCCCACACATTCACAAACGCCCCTCCCCACATACAACAAGATTATATTTGTATAGCGCCTTTCACGTCAGGAGGATGTCTCAAGGCGCTGGACAGTGCACAGCATCTCAGACCCGAGCTGGGGTCAGGGAGTGGGGGAGCGGAGGGGAAGGGGGGTGGCCGATGGCATGGTCGCAGAGGAGGATGTTGAGGTGGGACTTGAAGGAGGCTAAGGAGGGGGCGAGGCGGAGTTACTGGAGGATGGAAGTCCAGAGGTTGGGGGCAGATTGGCTGAAGGCTCTCCTGCTAATGGTGGGGCGGGTGGGTCAGGGGACATGGAGCAGCCGGAGCCGGCTGAGCGGAGGGAGCGGGTGGGCTGGTAGGGGGTTAGGAGGTCGCAGAGGTAGGATGGGGCGAGGCCATGGAGGGCTTTGTATGTGAGGACCAGAACCTTGTACTGGATCCTCTGAAGGATAGGGAGCCAATGGAGTCGGGCGAGTGGGGGAGATGGGGTCACGGAGTTGGGTGCGGGAGAGGACACGGGCTGCAGAGTTCTGGATTATCTGCAGCCTGTGGAGGGAGGAGGTGGGAAGGCCGACAAGCAGAGCATTTGCATAGTCGAGCCTGGATGTGATGAAGGCGTGAACAAGAGTTTCATACACTCACAACCCCTCCCTACACACCCCCACCCACACACACCCCCACCCACAGTCCTCCCCACACACCCCCACACACACCCCCACACCCCACACCCACATACACCCCCACACACACCCACACACACACTCCTCCCCACACCCACACACACCCACACACACACCCACACACACACTCCTCCCCACACCCCCCCCCCACACACATACACCCCCCACACACACATACACCCCCACACACACCCCCACACACACCCCTCCCCACACACCCCCACACACCCCTCCCCACACAGCCCTCCCCACGTACTCTTACACACACACATCATGTGTGGCCTCCTGCACACACGCCGCCGTCGCTAGGTAACCAGAGGCACACTGCGCTGCGTCACCTCTTTCTTATCGGAGGACTCCTGCTCGCCTCGTTGGCGGATGCGCGAGGCATGCTGGGAGCGCGCCAAACTTCAATCTACAGTTCGTACAGAGGGCGAGAGACAGAGGAGAGGGGGACAGAGGGCAGAGGAGAGGGGGCAGGGGAGAGAGAGAGAGAGAGGGGGACAGAGGGCAGGGGAGAGGGGCAGGGGAGAGAGAGAGAGAGAGGGGGACAGAGGGCAGGGGAGAGGGGGCAGGGGAGAGAGAGAGAGAGAGGGGGACAGAGGGCAGGGGAGAGGGGGCAGGGGAGAGAGAGAGGGCAGGGGAGAGAGGGGCAGGGGAGAGGGGGCAGGGGAGAGAGAGGGGCAGGGGAGAGAGGGGGCAGGGGAGAGGGGGCAGGGAGAGAGAGAGAGGAGGGGCAGGGGAGAGAGAGAGGGCAGGGGAGAGAGGGCAGGGGAGAGGGGGCAGAGGAGAGAGAGAGAGGCCAGGAGAGATAGAGTGAGATAAAGGACAGGAGAGATAGTGTGAGATAAAGGACAGGAGAGATAGAGTGAGATAAAGGACAGGAGAGATAGTGTGAGATAAAGGACAGGAGAGATAGTGTGAGATAAAGGACAGGAGAGATAGAGTGAGATAAAGGACAGGAGAGATAGAGTGAGATAAAGGACAGGAGAGATAGTGTGAGATAAAGGACAGGAGAGATAGTGTGAGATAAAGGACAGGAGAGATAGAGTGAGAGGGAAAAGGGGAGAAAGGGACGGGGGGGGGGGGGGGGGGGGGGGGGAGAGAGAGACCACAGTGTAGAGAGACAGGAGTGGAGGGCAGGGGGGTGGGGGTATAACAGTAACATTGAGAGGGACTGGGCTCTGGCTCAGTAACAGGAGCGGGTCCGGGAGAGGGATCACGATGGTGAGTGAATGAGTGAGGGCTGTCGATGTGGTTCTGTCGTGGGAGAAACCAGGCTTTGAAGCCGTGAACCAGCCCAAAGCATGAACTGTTTACCCAATCCAGTCCGACTGTCACCGTCTTGATTGGAGAAATGCAGTATTTCCTCTGGTAACTCCTGTAAATCAGGTGTCAGCGTATCTCAGTTGGCAGCACTCTTACCTCTGAGTCAGAAGGCTGCAGGTTCAAGCTACACGTCGGGACTTTTGGCTCACAGTCCAGGCTGATACTCCAATCCAGTGTTGCAAGTGTGCTGCATTTAGGGGCTGCGTGGGTAATGTTGCTCCCCAAATCCCAACCCCCTGCTACATTTGAAGACGTATTGTCCTTCAGATGAGATGTCTGCCTGTTCAGGTGGTTGTTATAAAATCACAAAAAGGTGATACTTAATGTGCATTCATCTTTAGTTCCACCACAGTTAAGAGTATTGTTTTCATTTTGATCACCCTATAGGCCATAGAGAAGGTCACTTCACCTATGAGAAGAGACTGAAGAAACTGGAGATTTGGGGGGATATAGTTGCAAGATTTTATAACCAATGCAACGTATTGCCTAGTTATGCACAGAATATAATTTATCTTTTATTTGTTGTCAGACAGCTTACCTAATTCCGGAAAGTATTAGGCACAGGTTGGAAGAGACAAGGCTTGGGGACCCCAGAGTGTGCGTTGGGGTACTGCTGGTGTTTAACTACCTAAGACAGGATAGTTTGCCATTGAAACCGTGTCCAGCAAGCTTTCTCGCTGCTTGTCCAGCTAGGACCACCCTACCCAGAAGGGCTTTGACTTGCAGCAATAGCAGGAGCTGAATGGGATGACTCCTTGCCCCCAGTCCTGCTCTGCCCTGCCAGGTACTGTTGATGAGCCAGGCTGGCTATGCTGTCATCAGCAGTGCTCTTGATGTGGTTCTGATGCCCGCCTGGCTCAGGAACTAGACTACTGAGACCGCCACAGAGGGCTGGCTCGATTACGACATTCCATTGCCATCCATGTCTCCTTGAAGCCAGATCAGCTCCAAGGAGACACCGCTTACCTCCTCCCAAAATTAATCATTCACTTCATGTGGGATATTGCTGTGCACAAGTTTACTGCTGTGTTTGCCTACAATGGATAATCACTATATTTGCTTTAAATTCTGTGAATTGGTTTAAGACATCCTCCCGATATGAAAGGCGCTATGTTAAATGTGAGATTTATTATTTATGTTTGCTCTCAAATTCTTTCTAGTCTAAGAAGAAGGGACTGAGCTTTGAGGAGAAGCGAGCTCGTATGACAGAGATATTTTTTGAATCTGTAAGTAATAGGTTACCTGTTCATAAGCTTATGCTCTGACTATTGATATGTTACATTGCTGATATAGAAGTGTACTGTCAGTTGATATAATGACACACAGCTGCATGGATGGAGATTGGAATTCATTCATTTCTTAGAGTAGCTGCTAAGGAATGGAAGACCAGAACAGTTTAAATGATCAGAGCAGAGGTATTTGAGCACAGTAGATGTAGTGCTATCTGACTGAAAAGTGAGTTAAATGTAAAACCGATTATTTTAACTTTGGGATTTTTATTTCAGTTCCTGATGTAGATGAACTCAGCAACTAAATTTCCTCTACGTCGTTAATATACATTCCACTAGTTGAACACAAAATGATTGAGGAAAATTAGCTAAAAGGTTGTTAAGTTAATATATATTTTAAAAGACAGTAAAAGGTACTGATGGTAACACTCTTAACTTTTTGCCTCAGAATATTTGAAGTATTTCAATTTAATGCGTCACCTCTGGAGACTCCTCTTGATAAGTAGACTGCATAAAATGCCAGCACTGTGTTGAGCCGGGCTGCGCTGTGTTGAGCCGGGCTGCGCTCTCTTGAGCCGGGCTGCGTTGGCCTGCGCTATGTTGGACTGCGCTATGTTGGACTGGGCTGCGTTGAGCTGGCCTGGGCTGCGTTGAGCTGGCCTGGGCTGCGTTGAGCTGGGCTGTGTTGAGCTGGGCTGGGTTTTGTTGGGCTGGGCTGGGCTGTGTTGGGCTGGGCTGTGTTGGGCTGGGCTGTGTTGGGCTGGGCTGTGTTGGGCTGGGCTGCGTTGGCTGGGCTGCGTTGGGCTGGGCTGTGTTGTGCTGGCCTGGGCTGTGTTGGCTGGGCTGGGGCTGCGTTGGGCTGGGCCGGGCTGCGTTGGGCTGGGCCGGGCTGCGTTGGGCTGGGCCGGGCTGCGTTGGGCTGGGCTGGGCTGCGTTGGGCTGGGCTGGGCTGCGTTGTGCTGGCCTGGGCTGCGTTGGGCTGGCCTGGGCTGCGTTGGGCTGGGCTGGGCTGCGTTGGGCTGGCCTGGGCTGCGTTGGGCTGGCCTGGGCTGCGTTGGGCTGGGCTGGGCTGCGTTGGCTGGGCTGCGTTGAGCGGGCCTGGGCTGCGTTGAGCGCCTGGGCTGCGTTGGGCTGGGCTGGGCTGCGTTGGCCTGGGCTGCGTTGGCCTGGGCTGCGTTGGCCTGGGCTGCGTTGGGCTGGGCTGCGTTGGGCTGGGCTGCGTTGGGCTGGGCTGGGCTGCGCTGGGCTGCGCTGGGCTGGGCTGCGTTGAGCTGGCCTGGGCTGCGTTGAGCTGGCCTGGGCTGTGTTGAGCTGGCCTGGGCTGTGTTGGGCTGGGCTGGGCTGTGTTGAGCTGGGCTGGGCTGCGTTGGGCTGGGCTGCGTTGGCCTGGGCTGTGCTGAGATGTATTGTGCTGAGATGTGCTGAGCTGGGCTATGCTGAGCTGTCCTGAGCAGACTCACTTCTTGCTGGCCTTCATAGTGGCCGGGATATCGACTTTGATTGCTTATTTGCTATCTTCTCACGGGATTCATACCATTATAATGCCCACCCCCCCCCTCCCCCTCCCCCCACCCCGGATTAGTCCGGTTTGCCAGGTCCAAGTATATTGCTCTTTAGAAGCCCAGTGAGCTACGTGCAATATGTAGTTGCATTCCTGGAGCAGTGGAACCTTTCATGTTTGACTGGTACTATGTAACACAACTGTTTGGAGCTGTTCTGGGCGATAATAATTTGGTCCTACTCCATTGCAATACAGTGCAACAGATTTATTATTCTGTTTCAGACTCAGGTTTATAGATTACAAGAATGGGACTCTGTTTCAAATTTACTGTGGTTTTGATGCAGTGCCAATACACGACACACGTACAAAATTAGTCTTGAGACTGTCAGCTGACTTGTATGCTATTGAGTGGAACAGTCTTCAGTAATAATACCCTTTCAATAATAGTGATTATTTACAAATAACAGATGAGTGTGTTATGACACGAATCAAAGTTTCAGAGAGCCTGACACCAAATAACAGGTGTCAGCCTGGCTCACTTGGTGGCACTCTCACCTCTGAGTCAGAAGATTGTGAGTTCAAGCCCCACGTCAAGACTTTGAACTGTGATGCAGTGATGGGAGAGCACTGCAATATTGGAGGTACTGTCCTTCAGCTGAGATGTAAATCTGCCTGTTCAGCTGGATGATAAATATCCCATAGCACTATTTGAAAACAGAAAGGAGCTTCTCCTGATATCCTGATTGGAGTCCTGTAGCTCAGTGGTTAGAGCACTCGCTTTGCAAGCAAGACACCTGGGTTCAATTCCAGGCAGAGGGCGAAACCTTGGGCAAGTTTCCTTACTCCACACAGAGCCTAATAATAATCCCTCCAAAAACCCAAAACAATAATAAATTGGTCATTTTCAATCTACGACTGTTTGTGGGACATTGCTGTGCGCAATTGGCTGCCGCGTTCGCCCACAAATATACAGTCAATTCTCTTTACAGTATATTCTGTGAAGCGCTTTGGGACGTCCTCCCGAACTGAAAAGCGCTATATCAAATGCAAGGATTATTATTATTATTATTATTATTATCCTGTCCAACAATCCTTCTAGATAAGATTGGGCATTCGCTTCATGGTTGTTTGTGGGACATTGATGTGTGGAAATTGATTGCTGCATTCCCCCACAAGATACAGTCACTACACTTCAAAGTAATTTCTGTGAAGCAAAGTGAGAAGGTGGTATTTCAACTGGAAGAATTGTCTTATTATGAACCATTTTATTAATTGTGGATGAGCTTTTTCCCCACCACTAACTGAACATGAGCTTCCCACAATATCTTTACAACAAATTGCATTTACTTAGCACTTTTCACGTCGGGATTCGTTAAGTATTGGCTTGGAATACAGTGTGCATGGATCCTATTGTTGGGAATTTTTTCAAGTTGTATGAAGACATCTGCTCGGTTTCTGCCTGAGCTGTTATGCATAATCAATAATCAGGTTCCCAGTCATCCAGGCAGGATTGTAGGCTTGGAAGACTGCAAACCTGTGAGGAATATGGGAACATGAGAGTTGACACTAAAACTGGTCTCTTTTCTCAGAAAGATGTCTTTCAGCTTAAAGACTTGGAGAAGATTGCCCCAAAGGAGAAAGGAATTAGTAAGTAGCAATTTTCTTGTTAGTGTTTTCTACTCTCTTGTGCACTGGAATACTATTTGGTAATTAGCTTACTTTCTGGATGTTTGTTTTTCACCATTAATGGGTACTCTTGATTATTTTTCAGTGTCACAAATAAAGATCAGGGCACAGGGAGATGTAGGGGGTTGCATGCTGTGCTTTCATAACTTGAGTTGGGTATGAATCCAACCCAACCTGATTGCATCAAACATGGACCAGTTTTCTACAGCCAGAACCGTTTAGCTTTGATACTGGCAAATGAGATCAAAGTGGAAATTTTAATTCTGTTGGAAGGGTTGGAAACCCAAGGTCACATTTATCAAGGGATTCAGCATCATAGTCACCCAATGAATTTAAAACATATGTTCCACATATCAATACCGAGTATTGTATTGCACACGCACACTTTGCCATCTGTTTAGGTTCTCTTGGCATCCAGCAATACCACCATTGTTTAGGGAAAAGAGAAGAGATGTGTGGAGTTAGTCATCAGCAACTGATTATTGACATAGTAAACTATAAACAGTTGTGTAAACCTCATTTTAAATAAAACCATTCAGCACTTTTTGTTCTTTGTTACTGCCACTATTCATTGATTCAGTACCTGGTGAAACAACCGCAGAGCACATTTCTATAAATGAGTGTTCTAGCCGCAAGTCACCAAGTGCCATTTATGAAAGAGATGCAGTAGTTTATTAAAGATTACTTGTGCAATGTAAGCTTTCACATGCAATCAAGTCGCAAATCACACTTATATGGGCTGTTTGTTCAGAACTTTGCCGCCCGTATAATTACCCCAATCAAACTCTGTACCCACATCTCACCAGTTCTGGCCAGGCTCCACTGGCTCCCCATCACTGAACGGATCGAATTCAAGTTGCTCATGTTCAAATACCTTCACTCTTTGGCACCTCCCTATCTCTCCGACCTCCTAACTCCCCAGTCCACCTACCAGCACCTCTGCTCGACTGGCACCGGCCTCCTGCTCCCTCCCACCCTCCACACCACCATTGGAGGTCACGCTTTCACCCACTATGCCCCGAAACTCTGGAACACTTTCCCTCAATTCCACTGCCTTGCCCCCTCTGTTCCCTTTTTCAAGTCCCGCCTGATAACCTTCCACTTCAACCGTGCTTATGGCTATCTCCCCCGCGCCCCCCACCCCCCAGCTCGGGGTCAGGCTCCACCACAGTTAAGCGCTCTGAGATGCTACCCTGCATGGAGGGTGCTATATAAGTGCAGGTTGTTGCTGTTTAACATCTGGATAGAAGGATGACACCTCCAGCGATATAGTGCTCTCCCAGTCCTGCCTTACATTGTGTATTGTTAATGTTATGTAATTCAGTTAGGCTATTAACGTTGCAACAACAACTTGCATTTGTACAGTGCCTTTCAAGTAGGGAAATTTCTCAGCACTGTGCAGTACAGTAGCAGGGTTGGAGAGTGGAAGGTGACTATAGGTGCATTGAAAAAGGTGGGTTTTCAGACGAGATTTAAAGATAAAGAGAGGGTGACGTTAGTACAGTTGGGGAGTGTATATGGAAATATTACTGTTGGCAAATTTCAAAAGTTTCTATAAATGTACTTGATAATGGATCTGTCTTGTGCCGTTATTGACAGTGTCAAATTGGAGGTGAATGGTATCTCTTTCAGCATTATAAGAGAGGAGAGTTCAATGTACACTTTGAGTTTGGGCACAACTTATGCTAACGAAGGAATATTCCCAAAGTTAAAAAACATTGACTATAGAATCCTGGCACAAATTTACTGCAATCTTTTTAATGTGGTATAGCTTGTGTGTCAATTTGCTTACCTCCACAATCTGTTGCCTTCGCTTGACTGGCTCCGGCTTTCTGCATGCCCCTTGTGCCCTCCGTTCCACCATTGGTAGCAGGGTTTTCTGCCACTCTGCCCCGAAACTCTGGAAAACTCTTCTTCTATCCCTCCACCTTGCCCCTTCCGTCCCCATCTTCAGGTCGCACCTGAAGACCTTTCTCTTCAACTGGTCACGTCCCCCTCACCCCCCACCCCCTGGCTCGGTGTCGTGCTCTGCCACTGTCAAGTACTTTGGGACACTACCCTGCGTGAGGGGCGCTATATAAATGCAAGTTGTTGTTATACTGGAGGAGTGCTACACTGTCGGGCATTGTCATTTGGGTAAGATATTAAGCCAACGTCCCATCTGCTTGTCCTTAGGTTAAAGATCCCGTTTCACTATTTTAAAAAGAGAAAGAAGTTTCTCCCAGTTTCCTGGCCTCCAATTCTCCGCATGGTTCTTTGTGCAACCTTGCTATGCCACATTTGCCTGCAAAAATAGTCATTACACCTAATAGGGATTACTTGTGAAACAGTTTAAGACATTTTGACATCATAAGGTGCACATCCCTTATAGCACCTTATCATGTCAAAAATTCTTTACATCTGACAATTAACATCAGCTGCTGAGGTGACTAAGTGATATATTTGGCATTTCTGGTTGATTAGGGTTTAGATGGGTCACCAAAAATCTAGTCACAGCTAAATCCTCTCATTTTGTTTTCAGTCCATTGTGATACATTTTTAGCAGGATTACTCTGTGAAGCCGGTGTAAACTCATGATGTTCTTTTACCATTTCAGCTTCCATGTCTGTGAAAGAAGTTCTGCAGAGCCTGGTAGATGATGGGATGGTAGACAGTGAACGAATTGGGACTTCAAATTATTTCTGGGCATTTCCAAGTAAAGCGCTGCATACCAGGAAACGTAAACTGGAGCAATTGGAGACTCAGGTAAAGGTTGAAGTAGCAGCATGGAATTAGAATGGAGCCAAAGGTTTATATTTAAATGACTTTTTGTCACTGTTGAATTTCTAAAGAATAATGAAGTTTGGGGAAAAGGAATAATCAGGATTGGCAAAGTCATTTCATGAAAGCCGGTTTGAACGTTTACGCTTTCACTCGGTTGCTGTTGAATAGAATGTAATTGTGCTCCAATGCATGTAGCAAGTTAGCGCCAATGTACACAGAGTAATTCAACTGTATGCCTATAAAAGGAACAAATGAACTTGTGTACAAGGTTGACTACATCTCTTGTGAATGGATAGTAGACTGGAGGGGTATTGTTTTCTTAACAAATACCAGTAACCCGAAACAGTGAATACCTTGAATATTGCCAATGGAAAATTAAGTATACAACTGATGTGACACTGACTGAAACCCAGCAATGTTGGGATCCGCCTTATACCGATCAATTACAATTGTAAACATTTTTCTTCATCTTTGCAATATAATGTCCTGTTATGATATTGTGCAAAGGTTGCTTTTTTAGTGATCATTGTGGAATGAACTTCATTTAAGTAGCAATTGACAGCACTTATTCAATAGCAGCAGTGGTATTCCTATAGGACTATAGAAACAGTTTTACAATTTTCAAGTCAATAATCAGCAAACCTTGATAACCTGGGTGTCTAAAAATAGTTAAATTCAAATTATTTCTGGGCATTTCCAAGTAAAGGAAATCAATTTATTAAGGAAGAAAAATGTAGGGAAGTGTTTTGTGTTCAGGTGCTACCAACAGTACTAGAAGCGAACCTTAGTACTATGAATACCCATACTGAGAAATCCTCCTTTGCAAAGTGATGTAGGTGGAGCTTCCTCCAGATAGAGAGCATGCAGTGTAGTGTGTAGTGTGTAAAAGAGCATTTCAAAGGACTGACTTCAGTATGGGGAAGCACTCGGTGAGTTCTGGAGTGATTCTGATCCTGAGCTTCCCAAAGCAGGAACAGAGCAGTACTGGCTACTTATTGTTACTATCCCTTCACAGGGTTGGGAGAATGTGGCCAGGCTGAAGCACCTATCTCAGTTAAATTAGGTTAGACTTCAAATGTCTGGCATCCCTTTAGATTTTCTTCTATTTGAGCAAACAGCTTCTTCATTTGGAAAGCTGTCATAGACTGCCACCTAGTAGGTAAATAGCAATGCGGTTGAAATATTCAGAGAACTACATTATTCTTGATTTGTGTATAGAGTAACACTCACATAAGTCTTATCTTCATTAAATCGTATGTCGACCAAGTCGTACATTCACCCTAGTTTCAAATCAGTTTCCTATCAAAACCATTTAGATTTTTTTGCACTACTCGTATTAATCATCTCCTAATTCGTAACGCTGCTCCCCTTACCCTCCATTACTCCCGCATTTACCGGCTGCATTCAGTCACAGTAAATGATGTCCTGACCCATGCGCATTTGGCTGCAATCATCATCAGCATCACCAGTGGAGGTGAACTTGGGCTTGAAAACCTTATGTTTTAAAAATTTATAGGCAGCTGTGTCTAAGAAAGTGTACCTGTCGTGTAATGTTTTCTACCACTAGGTGTCACACGGTCACAAGTCTACTGCTGAACCATCAATGTGCAGTGAATGTTTGCTCGGTGTGGATGGCTACCGTGAAAATACAGTGTTGTGTTTTAACGCTGTGAGCAGTAAAATGTTGATTGTTAATTCCCATTAGCTGCCACATGAGATGGGATGTGTTTAACATGCAAATATGTATTACTAGCATGAGGGTGCTTATTTTAAGGGAAATGATTGATATTTTTTATTGTGCAACATTTGATTCATAAGGATTTTCTCAAGCTTGGTGTATTCATTTTACTGAATAAGAAAAAGCCATCAAAACAATGACTAAGAGCTTAAACAGCAGTGCTCACTCTTCATGTGTTATTAATGGATGCAAGCCTATGAATGCATCATCTTCAGTCCCTACCTCTCTGTGTTCCTGAGTGGTAGAAACACAGATTTGCCCACAGGGTCAATTCTATGCCTAAAGTAGTCTGTCTGGTGGAGCAGAGACGTTCCCCAGAGAGAAAACCAGAAGTTGGATGAGTAGGCACAACCTTTAATGTCCTGTCTCAGAATGAAAGACTGGCAAATGCCTGGAAAGATGGTGCCATGTTCATCATAAAATAATACTTGAGATCTAACTCTGACCCCGCCCTACCTCCCTTGTCTCCCACCCCCAGCTTGGGTGCCCAGCCGTCAGTGTCAAGTACTTTGAGACGTTCTTCCGACGTGAAAAGGGTGCTTTGTAAATGTTGTGTTCCTGGAAGGGAAACACAAAAATATTGCTCACGCAGCCCGTGGACGTTTCTCAAATCTGACATCTGGCCCTCAACTGCCAAAAGGTTGGACCACCCTGACCTTTGATATACAGGGCAACCCTTTTATAATGAAATGTCTTGGATCCAAAAAATGAGTCTTAGCTCCGTGAGAAAAGATGGCTGCTGGTTTTGATTCTGTATTGTCGGGTTTCTGTTGTGGCGCATCTTGTGCACGCATCGTGAGACATAAATGACAAATGTCAGCCTTGCTCAGTTGATAGCACTCTCATCTCTCAATCAGAAGATTGTGAGTCCAAGAACCAGATTAGGACTTTGAGCTCATAGTCTGGGCTGACATTCCACTTCAGTCCTGGGTGAACCCTGCATTGTCAGTGTTGCTGGCAGACCTTTGGGTGAGATGCTAAACAAAGGTCCTATCTGTCTGTTCAGATAGATGTTAAAGATCTCATGGAACTATATAAAAAGAGAAGAGTTTCTCCCGTTTCTTGGCCAACTATTCCCAGTTTTAGAAAAATTGGTTATTCACTTAAAAGTATTTGTGGGACATTGCTGTGCGCAAATTGGCTGTAGCGTTCGCCTACAAATATTCAGTTACCACATTTTACAGAAAACTTTGAAGTGTTTTGAGACATTTGGATGTGATAAGGTTCTATTAGGTGCTTAAATGCATGGATTTTTGTTTTATATCAGAAACGTAATGATCTGGAAAATGGCTATTGTTTAGCATGGGAAAGTGAAGTATGTCATGCTTCTGGTATAACGCAAATCGCACATTAGACTTGTGCTTTAAGTAAACCCACCCTCAAATGTGTTCTAACAGGACCACTCTTAAATGACTTTTAAGACTCTTGCTTTACTGGTTATGAATGAAGTAACTAACAGATGCTGTATTCATTATTGAAAAACATAGATTGAAATCTATTGATAGCAGTTCTCAACACACTCGTTAGTGAAAATATTAAGACCATAAGTGGAACAAACTAAATTGGGATTTGCTAATTAGTCCTCCTTTTTTGTTTGTTGGAATTATTCATTTCCAGTAACTCGATTCAGATCAAACTGTCTGAAACATTGAATCAACAAGTAATTCCGCCATCTAGATAATTTATAATATAATCCTCGCGGATAATCCTGGAGGCGAAGAACAACCCCAGGCTACTGTTTTCCACCACATCCCGACTCCTCCGTCCCCCCCGCCACCCCGCGCAGGTCATCTCCTCCAACCTTCACTGCGAGGAGATGCTGGATTTCCTTGAATCCAAGATCAAGGGAATCCGCTCCGCGGTCACTTCCCCTCCAACTTCCACCCACCACCCACCCCTTCCCTCCCACACTCCGACTCCTACCCATCCTCCCCTACACACCTTCGTACCCGTTTCCCCACCCTCTGTCACTGAACTCATCCTATCCCTAAAACCAACCACCTGCTCCCTTGACCCCATCCCCACTCCACTCCTTATCTCCCAGCTCCATTTTCTTGCCCCACACATCACTGACATCATAAACCTGTCCCTCTCCTCTGGCTCTGTCCCCATTCCATTAAAAACTGCCATCATCACGCCCACCCTGAAAAAACCCTCCCTTGATGCGTCGCAGCTATCAAGCTACCGGCCCATCTCCAACCTCCCCTTTCTCTCCAAGGTCTTGGAAAGAGTTGTCGCCTCCCAACTGCGCTCTTTCCTCTCCACCCATTCTCTTTTTGAACCCCTTCAGTCAGGTTTCCGTGCTGCTCATAGCACAGAAACTGCCCTGGTCAAGGTCACCAATGATATCCTGACTATCTGTGACCAGGGCTCCCTCTGTCTCCTCGTCCTCCTCGACCTATCGGCAGCATTCGATACGGTCGACCACGCTATCCTACTCCACCGCTTGTCCTCCCACCTCAACCTTCAAGGCACTGTCCTTGAATGGTTTAGCTCTTACCTTTCCCACCGTCTTCACTTCGTCTCAACGAATGGCTTCTCCTCCACCCCCCGTACTGTCTCATGTGGTGTCCCTCAGGGCTCTGTCCTCGGTCCCCTCCTCTTCACCCTCTATATGCTCCCCCTCGGTGACATCATCCGCAAACATGGGGTTAACTTCCACATGTATGCGGATGACACCCAACTCTACCTTTCCTCCTCTACTCTCAACTCCACGACCACCGATGTCCTGACAGCCTGCCTGTCCGACATCGAGTCCTGGACGAGAGACAACTTTCTTCAGCTCAACGTGCGAAAAACCGAGGCCCTCCTGATTGGCTCACGTCAGCGCCTCCGCACCTCAGGCGCTGACACCATCAGCATCCAAGGCTGCACTCTCCACCTCTCAAAGCCAGTCAGGAACCTCGGCGTTTTGTTCGACCCTGAGCTGTCCTTTCTCCCTCACATCCGCACCACAACTGGCACCGCCTTCCATCACCTCCGGAATATCGCCAGATTACGGCACTACCTCACCCCTCACGCTGCTGAAACCCTGGTTCACGCCTTTGTCACCTCAAGGCTGGACTATGGGAACTCTCTCCTCGCCGGCCTTCCCGCCACCTCCCTCCACAAGCTGCAGGTCATTCAGAACTCTGCAGCTCGTGTACTGTCCCGCACCAGGCTTCGGGACCACATCACTCCTACCCTCGCTCGCCTCCACTGGCTCCCCATCCCCCAGAGGATTGATTTCAAGATCCTCATCCTCACCTACAAGGCCATTCACGGCCTTGCTCCCTCCTACCTCTCCAACCTACTATCCCCCTACCTACCTGCCCGTACCCTCCGTTCCTCTGGCTCCGGTCTGCTCCACGTCCCCCGCCCCAACCGCCCTACTATCGGTGGTCGGGCCTTCAGCCTCTCAGCCCCGAGGCTCTGGAACTCCATCCCCCAGTGCCTTCGCCTTGCTTCCTCCCTTTCCTCCTTCAAGGCCGGTCTCAAAACCTTTCTCTTTGACCCGATGCCTTCAGCTCCCCTCTCGACTCTCTTCCTCCTCCTCGCTCCCTCCCTTCCCTCCCCTCACCCTGACCATTTCCCCCTCCTCTCTCCCTCCCTTCCCTCCCCTCACCCTGACCATTTCCCCCCTGCTCGGGTCATGACCCAACTGTGCAGCGCCTTGGGACGTCCTCCTGACGTGAAAGGCGCTCTATAAATGGAATCTTGTTGTTGTTGTTGTTGTTGTTTGATTTAGCACTTTATCACGTCTTCGAGACATCTCAAAGCGCTTCAGAATATACTGTAAAGTGAATTGACTATATTTTGTGGGCGAAACGTGGCAGCCAATTGCTCACAGCAGTGTTCCACAAACGGTCATGGTTTGAATGACCAATTTTTAGAATATATTTATTTAGAAGGGATTATTACCCCCAGAAAAGTGATCTGCCAATCGACTGATAACCAGGTTCCTACTTACTGCTAAATAAACAGAGGCGTGTGGTGTATGGAAATTTGCCCAATATTTTGCCCCACCCAGGACACAAACCCAGACCCCCTCTCCTGCGAGGCGAGGGCTCTAATCACTAAGCTACAGGACTCCACCTTTCAATCTTCATTGATATATCATTCTGTTATAGACTATACTTCTAATTGAATTTTGAGTAAAAGGAATGGCCAACAAATGGACGATCTTCTGAATTCTAGTTCTGCTAAAAATTCTGGATGATAGAGCTTTACAACCTGCTGGATGAGTGTTCCTAAGAAACTCCCTCTCCTCAGGCACCACAGATGTTAGCTGAACGCTGTTGGGGTTTTGTTACAAAACATTTTCCTGAGAATGAAGATATCAATCTGTTAGCAAAACACTTGGTGTATTTTCAAAACCCAAGCACACAAGCTGTTAACCCATTCAGGACTTTTAACTGTTCTTTGAACCGTTAACCAATTCAGGACTTTTAACAGTTCTGCAAGTTAGCAAGTTCTGCTAAGCACAAAAGACACTGCCTTATTTCACTAGCCAACTAGAAGCATACATGCTAAAAAGTTGAAACAATAACTGCAGGTTTTCATTTGATAGATTTAAAATTTGACAAATGAAAGCATAATATGCAAATAAAATTAACTGAACAAAATGTAATTTATTTGATCTGCTGCTGTTTTGCACATAGACTATGCACAAACAAAAATACTGTATTTTAAAATGAGGGTTTCAACATTGCACAAGAATTCTGTTGATAATCCACTAATGTTCGGTGATGGCCTACAAGGTGATGGGGTTACTATAGTGAAAAATGGATCTGTATCAACACAGAGAGCAGTAAAACATGTCAGTTACAATGGGGAGAAGTGTTCATTTCTAAATTACCACTCAGACTTCTTTCTTGACTAAGATGCTGTACATTGTGGCCTGTTGACAATGTTCATTGATAACAGGGAAAGTATTTAACTGAATGAATTTCAGGACAAACTCAAGGGCAAGTGATTTATATTTATGAATTTATTTTATAGAGGAAGTTTAACTTCAGTGAACCCTATTCAACATTGCTTTGAAAAATTTGAATTAAAATATTTGCATATGAGTGTCTTAAGGGACGAGGAGGTCGGGAAAGTACTTTCTGTTTGAATCAAGAATGAATCTTGTATAATAAGAGTTGCGTTTAGTTTAGGTTCTGATCTAGAAACCAGTCTTGACTCACTGAACCCCTGAAGAGCTGAAAACGTGAATCAATACTGTACTTTTTCCCAGACTAATTTCTGGGACCTTCGTGAATACCGAGTTCAGAGGTACCTTCAGCAGCAGAGTGTTTATAAAATGTATTGCTGTCTAAGTTTCTAACTTTGCACAATATTTTTCAGGAAACAATAGACTATGGCTTCTAATATTTGTGTTGATATAAATAAAGCTCACGATTCCCAACTGTCAAAATACTGGTAGTATTACAACTTTCTATAACTTTTCAAATGTGGTGTTTGTTGGTGACTTTTTAAAAAAAAAAGTAAACAACAACCAAGCATTTCACACAAGTTACTAGAATCCTGAGCTTTGGAGTGTGTGTGTGTGTGGGGTGGGGGGGGGGGGGGGGGGATGGCGGTGGGGGAGAGAGTCAGAATGGCTGAAAGCTTGTCCACCATAGTGGAGCGAAGCGGTTGAGGGAAGTGAAACAAGCCAGTGTTTGCTGAGTGGAGGGAGTGGAGTGACTGGGCAATATGGTAGGAGGGATAGGATGGGGTGAGCATATGGACGCATTTGAAAGTGAGGACAAGAATTTAATCCCTTGGGCGATGGGCAGCTGGTGGGGCTGAAAGAGGATGGGGATGATACGCTCTGATGTGGGAGAGGACACAGGCTGCAAAGTTCTGGGTGGTCTGCAGCTTATATAGGGAAGAGTAGGGAAGCCTAGTGAGAAGGATTCGGATAGTCGAGTCTGAAGGTGATGAAGCTGTGGATCAGGATCTCAGCAGCTCAAGGGAGGGTTGCATCATGGCAGAGATGGGTGATGTGCAGATGAGGAAAGGCAGAATGAGTGAGTCCCTGGTTGTAGGGTTTGGGGAAGGGGATCGAACGGAGATTCCACCTCAGCTCTGTGAGATCGAGTGAGCATCCATACAAGTCGACACAACCATCCCCTGAGGTGAGGAGGTGCTGCCTGGAGTCAAGCAGGAGAGCCTCAGTCTTGTCTATGTTGAAATGTAGAAAGTTAGAACTCATCTTGGACTTGATGTCTGACAGACAGCAAGCAATCAGAACAGCAGTCATCCTGGAATCCAGGATAGAGGCACTGCAAGGAAAAGTTGATTCCCAGAGCTTAACCTCTGAGTTTCCTTGAGCTAATGCCTAAATATAAAAATAAAGCTCACGATTCCCAAAGTTCACATTGTTGATAAACAATTCTTGTCTGTCTCTCTGTAAATCTGCTGTCTGACTTTCTCTCTCTCGTCTTCCAGTTTGCTGAAGTAAGACAACGAGAAAAAAATGTACAACAAAGTACTGAGAAAGCCAGAGTGGGACGCCAAGATACAGTAAGAACCTTTTTATAATATTGAAACTTGATTGCACATATGGAAATAATGTTTTGGTGGTATGTAAGAATATGCTAGTTCTCTATTCCTGGTTCTCATACTGTTTCAGTTAAGAGTTTCTAGATCAAGTGCCTGAAGATTTCCACCATTTCTGAAGCATTTTATACCTGCACAGAATACTAATTTAAAAGCTGGTGTCTTGTGATGATTCACAATAGGACAGAATCCATTAGACACTTACTAATCATTAAACATTGTGATGTTCAAAAGTGATGTGGAAGTGTTCGATGTGGAGTGTGCAAGCTGACTTGATTGAAATGAAAATGCTTACTTTATGCAGTGGAATTATCTACTAAAATGGAGGCAGTCCCCTAGTCAATATGTCATTGAAAAGAGCTGCATAGATACTTTGGCAGTAAGGGATATGGAGGAAATGTGGAGAAATAAAATCTGCTATGATCTAATTAAATGCCAGAACTCACTTAATAGGCTGAAATCAAGCCACTATATATACTACATTAAATCTTGTGAAGTGCTTTGAAACATTTCGACGACATGATAAGGCACCATATCTAATGCAAGGCCTCTTATTACTGAAATGGCTATTTAATAATATATATACTATTAATGTTGCCTATAAAATAATAAACATTTTCAGCACAGTATAACATGAAAGAATGAAGTATTTGGTAGCACAATTCTTCTCTGGATAATATGATATTTTGTCAACGCCATAGAGAGATTACAACGTGAGAACAAGGATCTTCAATTTGATCCCCTAAGGGATGGGCAATTAGTGAAGTTGTGCAAGAATGGGTATGATAGGCTCAAGGAACATGATGTAGGAAAGGACATGCCTGCAGAGTTCTGGATAGTCTGCAGTTTGTGTAGAGAGGAGTTGAGTCTGGAAAGCAGGGCATGGAATAATCAAGCTGGACATGGGGAAGGCATGCCTTGTCAGCCTGGGAAAGAGGTCGTGGGAGAGACATGTGTTGTGGAGGAGAAGGAAAACCGAGCAAGAGAGAGCACAGATGTAGAGTATAAATAGCAGTCGGGTATTCAACAAGATACCAAGGTTCCATGCTGGCTCCATGATGTGCATTCATGTATATCGATGCAGTTATTGCCTGAAGTCAGAGTTGTTCATCAAATCAACAACAATTTGCATTTGTATACTACCATTCAAGCGGGGTAGCTCTCGGAGTGCTTAAAAGTGACAGACCCTGAAGCCAAGCCGGGGGAGGGAGGAGATGACCATAAGTACAGTCAAAGAGCAAGGTCTTCAGATGTGATCTGAAAATCAAATCAAGCCTGAATGTGGAGGTTAACCAGAAAAAAATTAAATTGGTCATTCACCTCAAGGCTGTACGTGGGGTACTGCTGTGCCTAAATTGACTGTCATGTGCATTTGCTTGAGGTCTCACAGCCCTCCAGAACCACATTCACTCCTCAGTCAATTTGTATTCATGAGTCTGGACAGTCCTGCCCTCACCGAAGGCGATTGTGATCCACTCTCCTCTCCAGGCCTCTGACTAGTTAGTTTAGCATCGGATTAAGAAGCAAGGATCTTGGAGGAGAACCATATAGTGAATGGACCTGCAGCTTATGCACCAGGAGCTCGATGGTTCCAGTAGCAGTCGTGCGAGTTTGCTGGTCTCAGCCGAGGCTGTATGGGGAGCCCTTCCCAGAATTTGGGACGAGAAGACCAGCTAAGGTGACTGCCCCTGGCCCCTCTACAGCATCCTTTACTGGATTCACTTGTGTTTGGCAACCAGTGGAGAGAGTTCGGCCTCACAATCAAGTGGCCAGGTAAGATTCATTGGCAAAACTCACACAATGGCCCCTTGGGCAGGCTACTGGAGGGCGATCAGCTCCTGTGGAGACGCACACCAATATGAGGAGACCAGCCAAAGAGCAGAGTAACATACTCCAATAGGGAATAAACTAGAAAATTAATTGGCATACCATTTTTTTTTTAAAAAAGGCAGATCTTCCAAGTACTTGTGCATTTACTCACTAACCTATCGAAATAGCTTTATTTATAATTCAATAAAATTGCTGGAAGCTGCTTGCAGTGCACTGAGGGTTCTACTTTAAACACCCAATAAAATACGAGCGGTATGTACCCTGTTCTCGTTTTCCCAGAAATGTTTACTGTTTGAAACTCAAATTTCTTAATAAAGTAAATATAGAGGTTTTAAAAATGTAAGGGAAAAGTTACCCAGCATTCTTGTTCCTGATCACTATGTAGTATATTGACTTCAAGTGAGAACTGGATCAGGCCTACTTGCAAGTTTGCTGGTGATTGAATAGCCCGCCAGCACTCACTGTCCAGAGGATGAAAAATGGCCATTTGGGAATGAACTGAAGATTTAGTGCAAACATATAGAGTAGAAACGAAAGGGAGCTTTCAGGAGATGAGTTGGAGAGGATAGAATAGCCAGTACAGTCTAAGGGTAGGGAGAAGACTGTGCCCATATCTGGATTATGATGCAGCAAAGAACTTGTGTTTGTTTTGCTTTGATGTCTTGAGTGAGTAAAGAACCGTGCACGGTACATCTCCCTCGCCTGTGAAAGCCAAAATGATTTAAATGTATTTGCTGGCGCCAAGGGTTCTACTCATTGGATGCAAACCAAAACAATTAAAATGAGGGGCTGTAAACCTTCCAGGGTTTGTGGTCCTTTTGAAATGCATCACTAGGAACACCCACAGATTTGGCATCTGACCCTGCAAAATGAGGTCACGTTTAAATATAGATCTTGGATAAGAAGATTCAGCTCAGATGTGCACTAGTCCTAAAACAGGTTTGCATCCATTCTCTTGCCAACCAAGAAATGCAAATTTGCATTTATTTGCAAAGCAATTGAAATGGGCATCCCGTTTTAAATTTTGAAGGAATTTTAAAAAATTGGCGGTCAAATATTAAATGTGGAAAGGTGGATTTTGGAGACGGAGGGAAATACTTATACTTGTGCTTTATGCTGGGCATCCAAACCAAAAAAGCTATTATACAGAAAATTAGAGTTTCAAGAAAACCAGGACAATGAGCCTACAGAGCCTCCCAGTACACTGCTCTGAAACAGCTAAATAACAAAACTATTTTCCACATCAACACATCTTGTTGTGTGCAATTGGCTGCTGCGTTTCATCCACAAAATATACAGTCAATTTACTTTACAGTATATTCTGTGAAAAGCTTTGAGACATCTTGAAGATGCAAAGATTATTTTTTTTGAGCAAATTGTGGCTCTATATTTTGTCTAATGAAAATGGAGTTTGATTAGATTGCACTATTCAACCCTTCCAATTCTAATGGATCCTTTGTGCTTTAAAAATACATACCTATCTTGCTTCATAAACACCAGCAACCTTTGTTTACATATTTGTGCTCAAGTTTAAGTTAGCTCAATCTTGGGGAATGGAAAAGATTTCCTAGTTTAGTCATCCATTGCAACTATTCTTAAGTCAGATGGCAAAATATAGAATGAAGCTTGTTAATTTACCCCCTCCCCATCCATGTGACTTACACCAATACCAGTAGACCAGCTGTTTCTCATGCCAGCCGCTTTTAAGTCTGTAAATGAGATTCACCTTTCATTGACAAATTGTTGGCAGTTTTGTGCAGTACCGACAGGATTGAAATAATTTCAGTTCTTCATATTTGGGACCTTTCAATTGACAGGCAGAATAGATTTTAAAAGCATCATCTAGAGAGAAAGGGCAGCGTTGTAATTCACTGAAAGTTTTTTTTAAAATTCAAGTTATAATTTAGCAACGGTTCTAAAGAGAAAGTAAAACTAGATGAAACTAACACTAATAGTGAGTTTTCAATGTGAGTAGTAAGTGCACAGCTGGGTGTTACTGAGTCATATAGAAGTTCCTGTCTTCACAATCTTGTTTTGTGTTGAGTTATTTAATCTCATCTGAGTCTGGTGGGGGATTGATTGCAATTAGCCTCATTGATCCTGGGATAAATGAGGGAGAAATCTTAACAGATTTCTTAATAATCCCACCAACCCTTGGGAATCTATACCCAAGCATGAGCAAATAATTCTTAGGAGTCCTAGATTTTTTAAAAAAATAGTATTTTAATTGTTTTAATTTTATTTGTATGAAAATTCTCCATCTCATAATTGTAGCATGCGACTAACAGAATCGTCGAAGGCAAACTAGATGGACATTGGTCTTTTGTCATTCAGCAGTTCCTATGTTCCTATAATTGTAGTTGAAATCTTAAATATTATCCTGTTTCTCACTTTTTGTAATCTGATACTTGCTGATCACCTCAGTATAATCTATCGGGGGAAAGAAGGAACTGCAGCAACCCAAAGAGAGATAATATATTGAATTATGTTACATACTGAGACCATTTCATGGCCTGTCATCATTAAAACATGGATAAGTTTTGCATGTAGTTCATATCAGAGAATCATGCGTTACTAACCACTGGCACAGCACCTTCTACACCACCTTGTGACTGGCACATAAATGTGTTGATAATGGAGACTGAAATCTAATGTAGGTCATTCTGTCCTTATAGTAAATGCTTGATTGCTTTAGATGTAGGTCATGTTTAGTGAGTTTAGTGAAACCCAGTGCTTGCTTTTCTGAAGGTAATTATTCTGTTTTTCTCAAGGTAAATTTTCACTCAAAACATGGCAACAATATTGCATCATGAGTTTTATATCCACTGTTTTTTTCAATGAGTTGCTTTCAAAGTGGTTTATAGAAGTGCAAGCTTGCAAAGCTCCAAGGAAGTTGTTGTTTGTTGCCACTGCCTATTATGATGTCTCATGTCAAGGTGCAATTGAGAGCCGTGTGTGTAGCTGTTCAGTTTCTAGGTGAGACCTTTTTGAACTAATTCAACTCTGTTCACTCCTCAATTGTAGGGTTGAGAACAGTGCTGCTCACAAATACTGATCCAAAGCAGATATTAATCTTGGGCATGGACGAGTGTGTTGTCTAGAAAAAGAAAAGTTGAACACAGGCTGATTTTCTCCAAACTGATATGGCAGATGACTTTGTAAATGTTGTGTAGCAGAGTACATTATGTGCTAGAGACTGTGGCGACGGATAATGGGAATTGTATGAATTTTAATTCCACTCATCAAAAGTTTAGTTGCAGCCATAACTGACCCATGGTAAAAGGGAGGAAAATGGAAAATTCACTTTGAGCTGACTTTTTAATTGTCAATGTATATAATAAAATACATTGCAGATAAAATAAAATACACAATGTAGTGTCAGCATCAATGAAGATTGTAACAAAAAAATGCATTTAATGTAGCTCCTTCCACGTCAGGAGGATGTTTCAAAGCATTTCACAGATTTTACTGTAAAATGTATTTTACAGCCATTTGCACACAATGTTCCACGAACAACCATGAAGTGAACGGCCAGATTTTCATCTGGTAGATTGTCTTGTCAGGACCCAAGGAGAAACCTCCTTCTCTAAGTGACGCTGTGACATCATTAATATCCATTTGAACAGGCACAAATGGGACATGAGCTTGTCTCATTAGAAAGGCAGCACTTCCAATAATGTGGCACACTCCCAGCATTGTCCTTGATTATCAGCAGGACCGTGAGTTCAAAGAACCAACTTGAGCCCCAAAATGTTCTGATTCGGAGATGAGAATGTTACAGCTGAGCCGGGCTGATCTCTATATAAACTGGGCTTAAATGTGAATTTATGATATGTAAAAGCAATTGCTCTTAAATGTATATTTGCAGTTTTGTTACTTGTCAAATTGTAAAATTGTATGACAATGTTCTCAAAAATAGGAAAATCGTGCAGCTGTGTTAAAAGAATATGCAGCACTTCAAAAGCAGAGGAATCATTTGAAAGCAGAGCTGGAGAAATACCAGGAATGTGACCCACAAGTAATTGAAGAAATGCGTAAGTAGCTAGCATATAGTCCATTCAGGTTACCTGACACTACCATGCAATTCTTGTTAAATATTTTGATATTCTATTCATTTTAAATTGATGTTTAGAACATAAGAACATAAGAATTAGGAGCAGGAGTAGGCTATTCGGCCCCTCGAGCCTACCCGGCCATTCAATAAGATCATGGCTGATCTTTTCTAACTCCACCTACCTGCTTTATCCCCATATCCCTTAATCCCTTTATCCAAAAGAAATCTATCAATTTCAGTCTTGAATATGTTCAAGGACTGAACATCTACAGCCCTTTGAGGTAGAGAATTCCATAAATTCCCTACCCCTGAGTGAAGAAGTTTTTCCTCAACTCAGTGCGAAAGGGCTTACCCCTAATTTTAAGATGGGACCCCTGGTTATAGTTTCTCCAACCAGGGGAAAAAGTCTCCCACTATCTATTCTGTCGTGCCCCTTTATAATCTTATAGGTTTCTATAAGATCACCTCTCATTCTTCTATATTCTGGAGAATATAGGCCTAAATTGCTCAACCTATCCTCATAACTCATCCCCCTCATCCCTGGTACCAACCTGGTGAATCTACATTGTTGCCCCTCCAAGGTGAGTACATCCTTTCTTAAGTAGGAAGACCAAAACTGCACACAATACTCTAGGTGCGGTCTTACCAGGGCCCTATACAGTTGCAGCAACTTCACTACTCTTATATTCTAACCCTTTTGTAACAAATGCCAACATACCATTGGCCTTCCTAATTGCTTGCTATATCTGCAAACTAACGTTTTGTGACTGGTGAACAAGGACACCCAAGTCCCTCTGAACTCTAACACTATCTAGTCTCTCCCCTTCTAAAAAATAATCTGCTCTACTGTTTTTGCCACCAAGGTCGATAACTTCACACTTCCCTACATTATACTTCATCTGCCACCTATTTTCCCACTCACCTAGCCTATCTATAGCTCACTGCATTTTTTTAATGTCATCCTCGGTGTTTACTCTCCTAGTTTAGTGTCATCCGCAAATTTGGATATATTAAGTTCGATGTCCTCATCTAGATCTTTGATGTAGATTGTAAATAGTTGAGGCCCAAGGACTGATCCTTGTGGCACTCCACTTGTCACATCCCGCCAATCTGAGAAGGACCCGTTTATCCGTAATCTTTGTTTTCTTCCCGTTAGCCATTCTTCAGTCCATGCTGATATATTCCCCTGAATTCCATGGGCCCTAATCTTGAGGATCAACCTTTTATGCAGCACCTTATCAAATGCCTTTTGGAAATCTAAATACATTACATCCACTGATTCCCCCCTATCTAATCTACTTGATATGTCCTCAAAAAAATCAAAAAAAATTGTTAAGCATGACTTCCTTTTTGCAAAGCCATGTTGACTCTGTCTAATCATATTGTGATCCTCTAAGTATCCCACTACGATATCCTTAATTAAGGATTCTAGAATCCTTTAAATCTCACTTTAAAATTAAAATAACAGTACATCTAACAAATTGCTGATGGACTGTTGGGCTCTTCTGTGGAAACATTACTGAACTTCCTGTTCATATTTAGGCTTTACATTTTCAATGACGTTTCGCAGGACCCAATGTGTACCGTGGGTTATCTATATTTTCAAAGATATCGCTGGCAACAAGTTTATGTTCTTCTCACTTGAGCACCATATGTTCCAGGAAGTATGGCGTTGTGTTTTTTTGTAAGTGATGCTCAATGACTCAGATCATCACTGATTTATTTGTTTAGCCTGATAGTTTAGAACATGTCTTCGTTTGTTAAGGAGGATAGTTATGCTTGGTTTACTTTTCCATTTGGTCTTTATCAAGGTACAGCCATTATAAGGTATAGGGAAAGGGTAGTGGAGCACAATATTTTACATTCAGCTTATTTTTAAAGGAAAACGACGTCAAGCTGCATGTTTAGCTTATGTAACTCTTCTTGAATTCTATCAGTTTTACTCCTAAAACATTTATAATTTATAAATAACAGAATTAGTAAAAAGGCATACCTATTACCACAAAGAAAAATATAAATCTTCTGAATCTTGAGGAATGGAGGCTAGGTTTAAATAGAAATTTGGAATCTGGAATGATATGCTGGAGTTTTTGCTTCATTAGTCTTAATTTATTTTTTCCTTTGTGGTAATAGATATGTCCTTTAATAAATCTGTTATTAATACGTTATAGGCATTTTAGGAATCAAGGAGTCAGTGGGAGTGAAGTCCATGATGTGTATAGATTTTTCACAGTCCAGAAGATATAAGGTTAATAAGCTGAGTAGCCTTTTGTCGTTCCATCTGAATTTTATACAAGTTGTTATTATAGAAAGCAAATGACACTGAATGTGAGGCTTTTAAAAAAAAATCTTGTAGACTGGCAATTCAATACAATCGTTTAATACAGGATGTGTGGTATAAATCTGTCTAAATCTAACGTGGTCTAAATCTGAATGCACAGGACTATTATCCTGGTCAATATAAGTTTCTGTCGATAGATTAAACCACTGTTCAGCATCTATCATAGTACTATTTTCTTGAGTGCAGTTAATGCAGTCATTCTGAATATGACTTTTGTATTTATTGCAGGGCAGTTCAACAAAATTGCAAAAGATGCAGCAAACAGATGGACTGGTATGTTGCAGAGGACTTCCTTTTTACAGTCATTCTGATTGAATATTTGCTTTGCTTTTTCTTCCCTTCCCCTTCCAAATTCCGCATGATTGCAGGCTGACCTCTTTGAAATTAACTGTAATTTCTCTTGAATTCTACAGATAACGTGTTTGCTGTAAAGTCCTGGGCAAAGAAAAAATTTGGATTCGAACAGAATCGCATTGATAAGACTTTTGGAATTCCAGATGATTTTGACTACATTGAGTGATGATCTTAAACTGTCCAGACCCATCTTACTGATAGTTCTGAGTTTGTATCAAACTGTTACGCTTGTTAAGAACTTTTAATTTTAGAGACCTTGGCTTTGACATGGTCTTGCAGAGCTCACTCCTGCTTGAGACAAGATCTTCCACTGCTACTACTTGTATATGTGTTCACAGAAGAGAATTACCTTGTGAGGATAGTAAAAACAAATTGACCTGATCTACATATGACAATGCTCTTTGGACTTGTTGAGTGGAAATACTGATTTGAAACTAGCTGAGTACTGAGAAAGAGAGTCCTAAGATTCCTTCTATTTGTTAGTGCCAAGTTTCCGTAGTTTATTGTTCTTTCCTGTTGTATAACATACCTTTGTCTTGGAGCTTTGGACCAAGATATGTGGAGTTATTGGTGTTTAAAAACTCTGAGTCGGAAAGTTTTGGGTCTTGGAATCACACAGTCTAAGCCGACACTCCAATGTGTTGCTGGGAGTGTTGCATTGTTTGCATTGGGTGTGTCCCATCGGATGAAACGTTAAACCGAGGTCTCATCTAACTGTTCCGTAAGTCGTTAAAGATCCCATGGCACTATTCGAAAAGAGAAGGGAGTTTCTCCCGGTGTCCTGGCCAACAATCCCCAAAATAAAATTGGTCACTCACTCCATGGCTGTTTTTGGGACACTGCTGTACACAACTGGTCTCCGTGTTCTGCCCACAAAATGTACAGTAAATCTACTTTAAAGTATATCCTGCGAAACGCTTTGAAACATCTCAACGACGTGATAAGGTGCTACATCAAATGCAAGGATTATTATTATTATAAGTTAATTTTGTATTATAAATGAGAAATCTATTACTATAATTGTATACTGTCTTAATAAAATGCCGCCCAATTTTTTGCTGTTGAATAAATAATTGAACTGTTTGACTCAAAAGCTGTCCAAGGTAATTTCTGTTAATATATAGAGAAAATCCATCAATCCAAAAATAATATGAATCAGCTTACCATAAAAACAAATCCCCTGTGAATGCAAACAGGTTGCATAATTATAGAGAGCCTGCTACAATTAGATACCAACTGATATTATGATTTTATTGTTGATATTACCATTGCCCTGTTATGTTTTGCAAACCAACTACAGTATACTGCTGTGTTAATAAAGCCTAATCAAAAGTCTAAACTAAAAATATTATTTAAACTCCAGGTATTTTTAATATGTAATCTTAATTTTAGTTACCAATTAATGGTTCGTCGATTTAAGAAGCCTTCAAAAGGAGCCAAACATCTAGCTCATCAAAAATTCACCTTTGCTCATTGGCTTTCCAACCACTGGACAGAATGAGCCCCTTGTTTCTTTAAAAAAAAACATTTGCCAATATATTGTTATTCTCTTTCCTCGAGCCACTGATTCATGCTTGGGTTCCACAGTTCTTGGCTGCCCTCCAATGTTTCACCCAACTGTTCTTCTTCGTACACAAGCTTTGAAGATATTATCCTCCGGGTGGGGGGGGGGGCAGGAAGCAGTGGTATATCTTTGGGTCTACTTTGGCATGGTTGACAATGGAATACTATATTATATCTGAAATAATAATATTTATTATTTATAATATACAGACATATTTATGAAAGAATTGCCTTTAGCAGTAAGTAGCAACCCAGTTGTTAGTTAATTGGCAGATTGGTTTCCAGGGGTATTAATCCTTCTAAAAAAAAATGGCCATTCAATCATGACTTTGTGGGACATTGCTGTGAGCAATTGACTGTTTTTCGCCTACAAACTACACTGTCAATCTACTTTATAATATATTCTGTGAAGTTGAGGTGTTATATCAATGCAAGGATTATTATAATACTAGAATTGCATCAATCTGCTGTGGTGTTTTCGGTGGTTCCTGAGTGAGGCAAGTCCCCCGGTATTGCAACGAATTGTTGATGAACCAGCTGGCGTGGTTCGTTGACTGGATGTGAAGGAGCAGTTATGTCACTTGGCAGGGATTCTATACACTCACCCACTTTTAGCTTTGCAAGCCAAGCTCTAAAAGGTAAAGTCCTAGTTGGACAAGCAGCGGCAAGTTTGCCAGTTTTCAGAATCGTAAGCTACACAGTTTTAGTTTAGTTTAAATCATTGCTACTAAATCTCGTGTGTTTTTTTCTCTGAAATGACCTTTTGTCGTAGCATTTCATTATCCATTGCCATACACTCATATTTCTTTTCTGTTGAGTTACTTCACCTTAAAGTACTCGATGGTCAACCAGGATCTGAAAACAGATGGCTGCAAGGGCAATGATCAATGCTGAGGTATTATTTGGAATACACACACACATACACAGACAGCTGCAAAAAGAAAGCGTACACATTTCTGCTAGTTGGTGAAAGGAAGTCAAGTGAAGCTAAAAATCTACCTGCGGTTTTTGATCAAAAAAAAAGTTGTTTTGTTTAGCCTTCCTCTCACAGCACATCGACAAACATTTTCAATGCTGAAAGCAGTTTGCCCATTTCCTGGAGATGTTTCGCTGTAACTATTTCCCATTCTGCCCTCTTTTGAAAATAATGATCACCGTAAAGTTTTATTTTGTTTTGGGGGTAGCGTAGACAGTACAGTACTGGCACTCACTCCATACATAAATGCTAGTGAAGACTTGAAGTTCTGGGGGAGAGCTGTATTGTCAGAGGTGTTGTCCTTCAGATGAGTCATTGACCCAAGTTTCCATCTGTTTGCTCAGATTGACTTTAAATATTCCATGGCACAATTTAAAAAGAGAAGGTAGTTTCTCCTGGTATCCAGATCAACAATCCCGTGATTAAAAGTGGTCACTAGTTCATGGCTGTTTGTGGGACATTGCTTTGCGCAGATTAGCTTCTGTGTTTGCCTACGAAATAGTCACTACACTTTACAGTAACCCCATAAAGTTCTTTGAGACATTTTGGTGATATGATGAGCTGCTGTATTAAATACAAGGATTATTATTAATAAAAATAAAAAATTGAAGCTCTCCATGGAACGTCGCATTGAAAGTCCATTTTCAAAAGTTATAACTACCAGACTGGCCAAGGGTTGCTCAAATCAAATTCTATGTCCAATTAACAATTAAGATAAATTGTAATTAAGGAAAGGAATGCACTTTGAGAATCCTACAATTTGACCCGTATATTTTCTCCCTGAATCATTTACTTAGATCATGTTATTTCATATTAAACTCTGATTGTCATAAGAGTGTGTATGTCCTAAACTCAAGGAGTTGGTTTAACAGAATGTGACATATTTGTTTTCTAAATCTTAGATTTCATTGTCTTTACATTTATCTGCCATCCTTGAATCATTATTTACAGAAGCAATATTACAGCTCTGTGTTCCACCTTACTCCTAATTGGTATTGTTAATGGATACCCTTAATATGAAATAACATGATCAAAGTAAGATAAGGAGATTATATAGCGGCTCAAAATTGCAGGATTCCCAAATGTATTCCTTTCTTTAATTATTACTGGAAATGATTAAAGAACAGTACAGAAATTAGTTCAAAATTTGTCTTTTTGAACGTCTTTAATAACAGGTTTGAACACCCCCTGATTTGGGTGCAGTGGTTGCTCTTTCAGGCTTCTACACAGTCAATTTATCTGTGACCAATTTTAATATTTTTGCTGTAAATAATTATTCATTCCTTTTACACAAATGCTGGTGAAGATTTGGAATGTGTTCAGGCATACCGCAGTTTTAATACCTATGTTCTTTTAATTTGTCATTCACTCAGGTCGCATTTTTTCACATCAAATGTATCGGTCAACAAACCCAATTACTAAGTGTTTATCAAGCCCTGCAATTTTGATCCCCTGTATGAATGTAAGTGATGTGTGTGTAAATGATGATTCAAGATTTTGAATCATTAGCGTTGACTTTAACGTTTATTTCATTGTTCACTTACCATTACCTTTTAAGATTGCTTTTAGACCAATGCAGAACCCTCACTCTTGGCATCTATAAAAGATTTCCTGATGCTATTGATTTTGCTACTTTTCTGAAAAAAAATGGTGGCTACATTGACTGAGAGAGGACACTTCTACTGAAATCGAGAGGAACGGTGTTCAGTCTCAAGGCTAGCATTAAGGACAGCTTCCAGTTGACAAAGCTTTCCTTGATTATCCACGATAATAATTAGGAAAGGAATGCAATCAGAATAACGCTATTTTTACCCCATGGTGTTGCTGAAGGTCAGGCTGGTGAACTATACACTTGGTGACCTAGTTTCATTTTTAATCTGAGCTGACATTTGCTTTCTCTCTTTCAAATTAGTGACTTGTTGACCTTCACAACACTGAGCACAGGCAGGAAGTCTGGCTGACAGAAGGGCGGAAACTGAACACTCATGTTTGTTTCATTCTTCAACATTTATACTATCTAGCCACATAGTAAATCCACCTGGAGATGTTCCAGTTGCAGTCCAGGCTATAGAAAGAACAAAGTAGACAGTCTCTCCACCCCAAAAATGTACTGCTGAAAGTTCACCCATAATAAAAAGGTAACTTCGGCAATTAAAATGTTGCTGTGACCATGATCCTTGGATAGTTAAATCCTGAAATAACAGAATGAAGTTATGAACGTCATCTCGAGTAAGCTAATAACAATTATCGTAAATTAAACCTATAGGGAGATATCTAGCCCCAAACCACGCAGACTTGAAAAGCTTTCAGATCTAAACACACTTGCTGTAGTCAATATTTCACAATGTGATGTTTGAAAATACACGTAGTCTTAGCTTGTATGAGCAAGTTGGCTTAAAATATAGAATTGTTATGGATAATTCTGAAATTAATTGTTCATCAGGAAGATGGTTTTCTGCCATTGCACTTTCCACAGGAAAGAATCAGCTTCCAAATTATCAGTGAATTTAAAATTCTATATCTTAAAGGGAGTTTAGGAGAAACATCTTTATGCAGGGTGAGGTGAGAATGTGGAGGGTTGAAGCAGAAAGCTTCAACAAATTCAAGAAGAACATTGATGCATACATGAGGCAGAGAGAACGGAGATGGGAGATGGGATTAGAAGGCGTGAAGGCTCATGTGGAATATAAATACCAGCACGGACTAGTTGGGCTAAATGCCCTTTTTCCATGATGTAACATACTATGTAAGAATATTTCACAGGTCTGCACAATCTTAAATATTAAGTCAAAATGGTTTTACAGACTACGACTATTTAAAATGTTGGGCCCTTGATTTATGCAAAGTTCTGTTTTTTATGTATAAATACACAAATATGGAGAGAAAGTAATGGTATGTATTCCATATCTCAGTATCTTTCTCCGTATTCAACAGCTGCACTTTCAGTTCCATATTAACACATCAGAAATGTTACTTTCAAGGCGGCATACATAACTTACCTCTGACTAATCCACCTGGCATGTAAACTCACTTTCAATTAACACTGCAAGTGCTGCTTCTATGTCTGAATTTTTTTTTGCTGCCTTTAAAACAAATGGAAAGACGTATGAAAAGGTCCACGTATGATGTGTGTTTTCATGTTTTGCGCAAAGTTAAT